GCTGGAATTGAATGATGCATATTGGTCAACAAAAAGGTGGCTGAGCTCCTGGCCCCAGTTGTTCAAACGTTGGATAGCGCTATCCAACGTTTGAACAACTGGGGCCAGGTAACCAAGTAATGTTGCGTGCCAAGAAGTTGTACCCGATAGCCCGGGGCTAGTGGATTTTGCCATCGGGCTAGTGATTCTTGTTCTTAACTTGACCGACGGGCAAGTGCTGTTCTGGGGGGAAATTCAAATTACAGAAGGATTGTAATCAATCCTGCTAATCAAAGAGGGTTTGGGGCTAGTTGAAATGACTTGTGGGCTAGTACATGCTAGCTACAGCTTGCCCTAATGGCAGGCCGTAAAACTGACTTTCTTTGCACCCTGTTGATATTATCAAAATGAAAATTTCAAAATTCGACTTTGTATAACTCAAATGAAAGACACTAAACAGAAAATTTCTTATTTCCTCCTCTTAAATTTCATTATTATCACTTTCAGTCTTTGGTCAAAATGTTTTCCTTTAACGATTCACGTGAAACCTCTTCAAAATAAAATTCGAGGTATTTCGAGAATTTCTTTTTTTTAGAGCTTACGGTTTCCATCAAGAATAAAATGGCAATGCTCATGTTTGTTTTACACATACATCACGACTCTAAATTCCAGATTCCTTATTTTGAGAAAAAAAATTACAACAAATCTTAGAATAAGATTTTGTTCTCGTAAATTCAAACTGCCTGTTTAAATTACAGAAAAAAGAGTTCTTATCCTATGATTTGTTTTAAGTTTTTCTCGTATAATAAGAAAACGTTTTCTTAAATTGAGAGGTTCGGAGCAATCTCGAATTTGGAGTGATCACTCACCTTCTTTGGAGACTCCTTTCAGCTCATTCCATTTTCCATCCGACCCTCGAATGTGAATGACACTCGTGTCACAGTCGGGCAAAGCCTTCTCTAAAACTTCCCGGACAAGTGATACTTGAGGAGATTGAGTTACAACAGCAACGTGAAGGTCGCTACATTTCAGCGCGGCTGTCAAGAAATGCTTGAAGGTGGGACGTACGCGTGAAACAAGAGCTTTACTTGTGAACTGCCAGCTTCCATGAGTGTGAATATTGATAATCGTTAGATCGAAGTCAACTGCTATTAACTTGACACTCAATGATACAAGTCTTTGCACCATGCTGGAGTATTTTTCCATGTTTTCTGCTAAATGCAAGCTAAGCTTTCCCCTTGAATCGAATGAACCCACAGCCTATGACATGACCAGCGGCAACAAAAGAAAATTATTCGTACATGATATAATTTACATCGAATTGTCCTAGGAGGGCGAAAAATGCTGTATTGTTTGAAGTACCACTAAAAATGTTTCATTTGAAAATCGCCAGGATTAATTGAATTTCAGCCTGGAAAGGGCGTACACCATTCACTTATTTTGCTGAATCTAAAAAAACACCCTAAAAAATTCGGTAATCAAAAAGACCTATTGCTTGATTTTTTAAGGTCTCAAAAGGCGCTCGAGAACACTGGACGCACGAGGACGCGATGAACGCACAGGGGCGGATCTAGGGGGAGGGTGCAGGGGGTGCGCACCCCCCCCCCCCCTGAGATGACCTGCGGTTTTCTAATACAACTGGTATTTTGGAAAAAAAAACTTGTGGGTTTTTTGGGGTTTAAGGAAAGCAACAGACGAGTTCCCCCCCCCCCCCCTCCTAAAACAAATCTTGGATCCGCCCCTGACGGACGAGGGAGACTTTCCATACTCGCGCTCCTTGATTGATTCTCCCTTTTCCCTTCCCGCATGCGCAGGCCTTGCTGTGCCCGGCAACACTACGGGACAACATTTAATCGGCCTCATTTTTATGCATAATGATGTGAAGAATAGCAGCTAATTTCCTAATCATATTTCACCCTGAGGACCAAGAGAGGACAGACATTCTCTCCTAAGAGGACCCTAGTTTCATAGCAGAGGACATGAGTAGAAGTATTGACAAATAACTTGCAAAATATTGTCAAGAAGACTTAAAACTACTTTAAACTTAAGTAAGGAGACAAAATTTTTCAGCATGGGGTAAATAAGCCAAACGTTGGCAGCCCCTCCCTGGCTTCGAGCCTTGGAAAGCGGCAGAACGAGAAAACTGGTACAAAAACATGTGGGGCACCGCCCCTTATTCCAGATCATCATGATCACTATCATAATCATCATCATCATCTTCATCATCACCACCACCACCACCAGCATCATCATCGGTCTTCATGATCATCATCATTTTCATCGTCTTCGTCGTCATGACCTTCATCGTCATCGTCATCCCCAACATCGTAATCCTAACCACGAGTTCGTCGTGAAAGTCAACTCAGACGATCACTGCGTCTGGCGACAGTTCGCGATCCGAGCCAAAAGACTAGCAAACTCTTCCCTAAAATGCCTCAAAACTCGTCTGCATATTCCAGCAATACCTTAGCAGCAATGTCTTTTCATCGCGCGCCTTTGCTTTCTCGACTTTCCCACTATCTGAGAGCCCGCAATAGGGTAGTCTACTACACAGCCGTTTTTAGGAGCATTGCGTGACGACACTAAAAACGGCTGTGTAGCAGACTAGGAATAGGGTAACATATTGGAAACTACCTTTAGAGGAACAAAGCCAAAACATAGGAATGGCATGAAAATCTTACGACCTCGGAGACCTCGACCTCGTTTGCTACGTAGTCATAAAAAGACAACCATAAATAACCAGATCTGGTAATGGCATCACCGAGTCTACCCGGTAGCCTAGCCGTTTCGCTCGGATGAGAGGTAATCTACGCGTATTACTACGGCGTACGGGTTTTCCACTAGCCGTAGAGAAACGTTGCATCACAGTGGCGGGTCCAGGGGAGGGGCCTGGTTGGTCCGGCCCATTCCCCCTTATTTTTAGACCAAAATGAGCTCTCAAGGGCACCCCAAAAAAGTTTTTTGGAGACCGCTCCCCCCCCCTTTTCTAAGGGTCTGGATGACCGTACCCCTCCCCTTATCTCAAAGTCTGGATCTGGCACTGAATCATAAAGTCTCTATTCTTCCTTTCCCTTGCCCTCGGCTAGGCAGGCTAAGCACAGCCCTTGTCTTTCTTTCCACACATACGTAAGAATGGAACGAGCTAGTCTGCATAACCGGCCGGTTTTGACGCACAAGCGCGAAGTGCGAGACCCACGAGAGAGAAGGAAAAAGGAGAGGATGTGGCTCATATTGGACAGATTGCAAAACAGTTAGCAATTATTGGATGAGTTTGAGTATTACCTGAAGAATTGAGATCGAGGAGGGTGTAATTGGCCTTGGCGGATAACACCCTCGGTGACCTCCATAATTCTTCAAATGATACGAAAGCCGAATTCAATAATTGTTTTATATTCATTCAGAATAATTCCTTGTTTAAAACAAGCTAAAACATGCTTACCCTCATCGATGTTATGTTCATCTACGATAGTGCATGTGTATCAGCAAGTTTGGGGGATAAAGGGTTGTTCAGTGCTGCAAATGTTCTCCAAATAGCAGATGTCGTCCGTTCAGTTGTCTTCTTGTTACAAGTTTCTCCTATATTTTGAGCCAATAGTTCGCCTATTTTTTCCTCGTCAAACGAGTGAAATGTTCCGCCATTTTGTACTCACTAAAATACTAAACCTCGTCCCCATGTCTTCTCGGTTAACTGTTCAATAATCTGGTAATTTGGTGCACAATTGAGGTCATTTTTTACATATCGCAAAATTCTTTTAAATTTGGTCGACAGTAGCTGGTTATGATGAGTTTTACGTGGGATTTAATCAAGAACGCGGAAATAGACGAATGTGTGAGGCTCGCGTGCTCCGCGCGTATGAGAATCTGTCACAGGCGGCGATTCGCGCCTTCAAAAACCGATTTTGAGAAAAATAATAATAAGGAAACGACTGTTTTGTGGTCTTACTTACAGAGTGAAGGGAAATAACTTAAGATCAACAGGCATGTACCAGCGTCGGCGTCTTCTTTAGAGAGGTATACGTTAAGAAAATAAAGCGCAGACTGCAATACCCAGTTCAATTAGCACTAAAATACGAAGACTCCGTACTGCTAGATGAAGCACTCATTCACCTTATACCTTAGTTTTATTTTACATTTTACATGGCAAAAAAGTGACCAAAAGGCTACGAATGCAAAGACTAAATGATTTATTGATGCATACCTTTTCCTATTCCAGTAGAAACATAATACAAAAATATCTCTCTAGGTTAATTTTAGCGGTTTGATGCATAAAACCCGTAAACTTCCCGTAATATAAACTATGCTTATATCAAACTATAACAAGGTGACACTCTTTTTTTTCACTGTTTTTTGAATTTTTTTTCTGATTCTGTGGAATTTTTATCTTTAAACACGAGGTAGAATCTGCGTCAAAACTAGTCGAGAAAAGTTGTCCTGTACGGAACACCTAATACCCCTTTCCAAACTTCCAAAAAAGATATTTGAACACAAATTAAGTTCCTTCCCCCCTCTCCCCTCAGGTTCAATGTTTAATCTATGGTCAAGTGACCTGTGGCAACGGCCAAGTGAATTTTGATCGGCTGCTGAGGGATGATATCGGTTTGTTATTTACACATATATATCTCGCGGCCAAATGAGTGTCTCGACAGTGTTGGCACAGATTGTATTATTCTACATATACTTCCATTAATCCCTATAAAAACACCTGCGAAAGTCCATCACAGCAACATTTTTCTACTGATTACTGTAAAGCTACTTCCAACAATCACCCTTGAAAAGAATAAAACGAATTCCGTATAACTTTAGCCAAAGTCCAGTCCGTTGGTCCTACATTTGCAGTACCCGAAGCAACAAAAAAATTTGTTACAAGTTCTTATCTTATAAATTGCGCCGGTGTTCTCCTCCCCACCGAAGCCATGGTTCGTTTTTATGGATGCGGTTCTTTACGGGCTGGCCTCGAAACCAGTTATCTTTGTCACCCCGCTCGTCGAAGCTCCACCAGTCTTTGGTTCCCCAGTAATCCCCGGAATATGAATTTTCCCCATCCCAGTAATTATCCTCGGACCAATCAGGGATCCAGAATCCAAGATTACAAGGTGCGTACGAGCATTTCACAGGGAGCATGATTGAATGCAAGAAGCTGGCACCGGTGTCACAAGTAAACAGGGCGGTAGTCTCTTGCATGTCTGTGGCCTTAGGACACATGGGGACGGAGATCAGGGTCTTTCCTACGCGTCCAGACTTAATTTTAATGTTCTTTCGCTCTCCATAGCAGACGAGATCGCTGACGATTGCGTTGCATGTGGAGTTGCGTCTAAAGAAGACCTTGGTATAGAATTCACCTCTAACTTTGGGATAGTACATCATTGGACCAATTTCCATGCCAGGGGTCATCATTTTGTGGCGGGGCATCATTTTGTCCATAATTCCGTGTGGGCGTCCCATCTTTCCCATTGATGGTCCCATGTGGCCCATCATTGGTCTCATCATACCAGACATCATACCAGGGCGCTTCGTTCGTCCCATTGGTCCCATATGGCCCATCATTGGTGGCCTCATTCTGGGTCTCATACCAGGGCGCTGCATTCGTCGCATGGGTCCCATGTTTCCCATCATTGGTGGCCTCATCTCCGGTTTCATATGAGGTCCCTTTCCGCGAAGCTTCATTGCTCCCATGCGCATCTTTCGTTTCTTGTAACGCAAAAATGGTCCTTGTCTTATTCCCTTTTTCCTGGTCATCCTAATCCTCTCATGCCTTCTTCTCTGATACATTTTCTTCTTTCCGTCAGGAAAATCGCCACCCTCTGAGGGATCCATAACTTGGCACTTTTCCAGGCACATGTCGTCTCCCTCGTCACACTCGTCACAGGTGGGATGGCCAACTTCAACGTCACACTCCTCACCCTCGCAGTCTTCAATTACTACTTCAACTTCATGCCATTCCTTATCTTCAACTGCCGAAGCAAGAGAGGGATAGTATTAGTACGCGCACTACCTGTATCAATACTTCAGTTTTCGAGGCCACGTCAGAGGGCCTTATGCAAAAAATGCCACAGTCACATACATTTTTACTCTTACGCCATCTGCATGAGCATGAAATAGCCTGCGTTAAAAGTCTCTAGCGGCAAGCAGGAGTGAGGAGAGACGGCTGTATTTAATGGCTAAAGTATGGAAATTCAATTAATCCAACTCACCGTTTACGGATTACTATATCGAGTAAGAAAACTGTTAACACGATGAAATGGCTTGAAAGAAGCTTGCAGAAGAATACTGCAAGAACTCCGCGTACTTTCGAGATCAAAGGGCAAAGCCAAATTGGCCATTTTCAGGTTACGTTTGAGGCTGGGTCGGTGTTGTGTCGAATTGCACAATGGAAATGTTTTGATTGCGTAACTTCTTAATGGCCAATGAGAGAAGTTACAACATCCCAAAACAGTCCTAGTACTAGTAGTCCTAACCTTCAATTAGACACAAGACCGCCCGAGACTCACCCTCGAATTGAACTCAAAATGAGCAATGACCAGAGGAAACAAGAGACCAAGGAATGGCACAGTGGTGAGAGAACTCACCTCCCACCAATGTAGCCCGGGTTCAAATCCCAACGTCAACGCCATATGTGGGTTGAGTTTGTTATTGGTTTTCTCCTTTGCTCCGCCAGAGGTTCTCCCTGGGTACTCCGGTTTTCCCCTCTTCTCAAAACCCAACATTTCCAAATTCCAATTCGACCAGGAAAGGTAGACGACGAACATCTCTGTGAATGGGCTACCTCTAAAATCGTTATTTATTCATTTATATATTTAGTAACTCACCTAGGGGTTGCATTAAGCCCTCTAAAGCGCGTAGGAACCTGGGACCAAGCCACACCTGGTAGGTCTGGTTGACAAAGGGAATGGGCTTCAAACTCTTGGTCTCCTTTCCAAATATACTCTCTACGAACATCTTGTCCGGGGTTAAGACTTTCTGTGCCTCGAGTAAAGCTTTGCTCAACTTCCATCGCCATACCCCATCATGCATGTTGCACGTGGCAAGTGCGTGGGATGGAACGCGACCAAAGTTACACTCTTTGATTGATTTCATAGTATCATCGGCAATGTCTATTTTTGTTCCATTGGGACACATAAGGACGAAGTCATCTTTGTTTAGGCTATGCAATGTCACAGCTTTATCAAAGGTGTATCCATCGATAAAAGCGACATCACCATTTTCTTCGCTTAGGCACTTAAGGGCTCCTGGGTAGTCATAGAAAGCTTCGCTGATGGTATCCATGGAACATTTTTTGTCTCCTTGTCCAATGCAGGCATCGCACATCTTCTCTCGGAAGTACTTGATGTCTCTGTTTTCCCACTGCAGGAGTTTAAATTGGCTCATGAGCCACTGTAACCGTGCACAGAGCAAAGACATCCTAAAGATTATGAAAAGGTCAAGAATATTGAGTTATATGACCATTTGGCATTAGCTTGCAGTGCCGGATCCAGACCTTGAGATAAGGGGGAGCCGATCATCCAGACCCTTAGATGAGGGGTGGGGGGGCCGGTCTCAAAAAACATTTTTTTGGATCTTTGGGCCTCAGTTTGGTCTAAAAATAAGGGGGTGCCCAGCCCTCCCGGACCCCTCCCCTGGATCCGCCACTGGCTTGTTCCAGGCGTTCAGGTAGTGAGAATAAATAACAATTATTCACCGAAGTGGAGGTGGCTAGTATTGGATATTTACCGAGGCCGCGAAGCGGCCAGGTAAATATCCAATACTAGCCACCGACACTGAGGTGAATAATTGTTTTAGTATATACTAAAACAGTGAGATAATTGAGCACAAAATGATGATTTTTAACTCATTTACTGTTGCCAACGATTACAATTTTGGCGCGCGATGACCGAACGGCCGCGGTCGTCGCTTTTTCTTAGGGACAAATAAAACTTTTGAAGGCGTTTGTTTAGCTCTTTCTTTCAAAAGGAGTTGTGAATTCTGTTTGTATTTAAAATAATTCTATAAAAAAGATTATTAAATTTAGTTTACAAGTCTATTTATGAACAAGTCAACTAAATAAAGTAACGCAAGACTTAAGCTTAATTTGCATTTGTAAACGAAAAACTTTTTCACCGTTTTTATCGATAACTATTCAATTCAAAAAGACAAAGCTTTACCTGTTAAACTTCCAAACCGAACTTCGTCACCTTCTTCATGCATTTCGGAAATAGCTTGCTTGATTAGTTGTGAAATTTCTTAGTTTGTTACGGCAGCTAACCGGGAAAGCATTTTGCTCGCAACCTACGCGAGCTTGGCGTCGCTGGAGGTGAATCAGTGAATAGTGCAGGATATTCACTGATTGAGTAGCCAATCAGAGCGCCCGAAAAACACTATCCACTGTTTTAGTATATACTAAAACGAAATATATACGGCTAAGAACTACAGACTGAGTGATAACGTCCCTCTTAGCTGTCGACAAAGTTTTTTAGCAACTGCTCAGTAAAACAAGTGATTGAGAAACTCGACCTCATCTTTTCCAGATCTGAAGGCTAGAAAAGTACAATTTAAAGTACACTGTATTTAATGCTTTTTTCCTACAGCGTATCCTTTAGTCACTCTTAGCTGTTGAGCCAATCTATGTCCTATAAAGTCTGAAGCAGCAAACTATGTTTCCAGTTTACCTGATGAAGGTGTCCTGATGTAGTGGCTTGTGATTTGATTGCAATCCTGACTTCCTTGATTGCTTGTAATCAGTGAACTCTGTATCCATCCAGGACTTGAATATCGTCCAGTCGTTGTTAGTCCAATCCTTAGCGTATTGTCCGCAGTTTTCATTTTCATTCCACCGATGCTCAGCCCACCCCATGAACATGTGCCATTCCTCCTCGATCCAGCCCTCTGGCATCTGAAACGCCCAGCTAACCAATTCCCATTTAGGTACTTTCATGCTACAGAAATCTTTGATGCCTTCATAGTTGTCCCAGGAGAAGTCCTTTTTAAGCTTTAAAAAAATCGAGAAAAAAGCTTAGGCTCTGGTTAAACGTCGTGCCGGTCATAGTACAACCTAGTTACACAAGAGTTAACTGTGTAGGGGACAACTGAATCAGTCTGAATTTGGTCTAGCACTCTAGCCGGAGAGAGTCGTAAGAATCAACTGCCACTCTGGAGTGTCAGATATTTTCTCACCCTCTGTAGAACTAACGCTTTTGTGCCGCACCAACTGAATGAAGCTTTAACTTACTGAAGATCTACAATGACTCAATCACCGTTGTTTTGCAGTATCCAATTCATCAGTTGGAAAGGCACATCGATGCAGAACATTTGAGCTGGGTCTATTTTGTACAGGTTATCCAAGTATCCTAGATTCTCTGACAGTAAAAATCCAAGTATTTTAGATATATTGATAGAGCGGTTTCGTATGACCTTGAAAATAGTTTTATCAGTCAGTCATGGAAAAGATCTAAACACGCCCTCATAGTTTAATCTTCTTTAAAACCTGATATAACATGCGTTATAATGTCAATGTTGAGACCGGCAGTTAAGCGGTCAAAAGCGTCCCTTATACACGATGTTGGACGAGAATGTTTCGTCGTTCAGAAAAGTACGGTTTCACTTGCACCTCAGCGCTCGGTACTTCTCTTGCGTTTTTAAAAGTACCCGTGTGCTGACTATACAACGCACTCGGCATGTTGCGTCTTTCCTAATTACCTTTTCTAGTGCCTCGTGAACCTCAGGTGTGTGGTACTTATGCATGCTTGGATGCTCTGACTTCATCATTTGGATCATCTTCTGGAACAGCGGGGAATCAAAGTCTTGCACCTTATGCACTGATTCGTATTCGTCACCATTTCCAGTCTGTTTGTCTTGCCACTTTCGCCACAAAGGAGTTTTGTAAAACTTCTCCCAATGGACGTCCTTCTCTCGCAGTAGAGATATCCAATCCATTGTAAGCGACAAAAGCGTTTGGTTGGTAAGATCCAATGTGTTCACTCCAGGGACACAGCTTTTGTCAAAGTGATGCCTGCAAATTTCAAGGCAATGCTAATCAGTGCCTTAGTGGTATCGAAATGGTATAGAGATAATAAACTATATTTGTTTTCCATTTTAGATCCCATGATTGACCATTTTAGCACGTCATTTGCTTTTGGCTTTTCAAAGGCCGTTTTTCTTGACATATTTTTTAGAAAGGCCCGGTAGACATCAAGACTTTAGGCGGAGTCGCCTGTTAGACTTGCGACCACCAACTTATCCGAGAGTGAGAGGCAAGGGAACAGTTCCGAGAATGAGGACCTTTCTATATAGAAAGAAACGAGATAATCATGATGATGAACCCTTTAAGCCCTAAGAGTGATCATGAGCTTCAAATTTCTCCTTGTAATATCAATGCTTTGTAAAACAGAGTGGTCATGAGAATTACGGACATGATCACACAAGATGAATTTGCTTGATATTTTATCATCTTCTCCACGCTACTTCTTTAGGAAGTGAATGGGGCAATAAATGAGAATTCAAATTTTGATCTTAGGGTTTAAAGTGTTAATAACCGCCATCTCTGTCCCAAGTTGTTTAAAATGGCTAAAACACAGCACTATCAACTGGCAGGAGCTTGAATAAGCCACTATCCAGCTAGTGGATAACGCAATTGGTTTCCGTACAACTTATACACTGAATACCACTAAACTATTTAAAACACTTAACGGTGGCCTGGTCAAATATTATATAACCACGAAGAATGAAACTTACGCAATTGATTTCAAAGGTGAGCCCATTCGTTTCATTGTGCCATTTGCCATAAGCCAACCCATAGGATGAAGGAATCCGCTGATCTTATGGACGCCTGCGTTACACATCTTCCATCCGCGCATGTCTTCTGAGAGGTCACTACTGTCTTTGAGCATCACACCGATGGTAATACTTTCTGTCCATGGGTCGCTTATGCTGTGAATGACAGATATTACTTAATAAAGCTATACAATCACATAACTTTTCCCAACTTCTTTTTAACTTGGTAATACTGGCTTTTAAATTCCTTTCAGCTTATTCTATAGATATGTCGTTTTTAAGCAGAAGAACTGAGCTGTTGTAAGCGGACCCTGTTTGGTTCCCGGAAGAAAGGCCCGCTTAACATCTATCCCACTTAAGGACCAATGCAGTTTCTGTATTTCGCTGGGACCAGGATTATGTGTAAGCCTATTGGAGGTGTCAATAAGTGGAGGTTCGACTGACTGTATTTCGTCCAAGCTTACAAATGTTTTCTTCCCCCAAATGTCGTCATCATTTAATTTGTGTGCATTTCCGCCTAAAACATCTTTACCCTGAAAATGATTTGCAAAGAATGTTTTGTCGACAGCATTCATTCTAGCTGATTTTTTAGTGAAAGTTTTTGGGGCTTGAGTGGTAATAGATCCGGACTGGTATCTTCTTTACTGTTATCTTTTTTAGTTTCTTGCCATATTGAAACTATTTTTATTATCACCGGTCAGTTACAGCCAAATTCTATCAGATTGTTCAAAAGCCTTATTTTTATAGGGGTCGTTTATAGCTTTTTTTTGGTTTGCTACCACAGCTCCAGAAAGAATAAACCGCGCAAAGGAATCTCACGCAGTCTTCCTTAAGTGATTTCAGTTATATTCAAATTTCCCCTATTGGTACCCAAAAACCTTCCGATAATGGCCAATAACGTCCCAATCTCGGACCGAGAAGGCATTTCTTCACAGCACTGATGTATACTTACTTCTTCTTGTTCTGCCCAATGATGGGAGCCAAGTTATACTCTCTTCCTGCGGTGAACATTTCCGTAGCATTGAGGTAAACCAGGTCTGCCACGTTCTTTGCAATCATTTCAGTGCATTCTTTCTTACAAGGTGCTTCGACACAGCCCCAGGAAATGTTTTTGACTCCTGTAAAGAGATATACACAAAGATTCAACTCTGACACCAGGTACATTTTGAATCTTTCGAATACTTACGGCCATTTTAAATCGACTCGGTAAGAAAATAGAAGCCCCTCATAATTGCCTATGGTCAAAATGTTAAATGGTTTGAACCTCAACATCATGCTCTCAAGACGAACGGATTTTGGAATCAAGCTGATTTTTGGTGGAACGCTGAGAAAATTCTAAAGTCAAAATAGTGACAAAAGTCACGATTTTGAACCTTCTGTCTGACAGAATTCAAGCATGCTTTCGTTTTACAATGCATGTGGTTACTCAGTTTGTTTGATCTTTACCCACCATCTATGGTCTCGAAGTGCTCGATCATATCTTTACACTTCTCCATTTCATCTTTTCCGACGACGCAGAAGAACGCGCGAGGCTTAGGCTCAAGTTGTTCACATGTCTTCCAGATGTTCTCTGTATCCTTCGTAAGGTATTTCTCGTGAGTTCGCTTTTCCTGAAAGTAAAACATTTGAAATTTATTTTACTTTTTATATGTAAGTGCCCCTCTCCCAGAATCTAAGCCCCTGTGACTAGATTTCAGCAAAAATTTTATAGGACGGAACAGTGACCCATGGCTTCTGCCGAGATTTTAATTTTACCTCGATGAACAAAGTAAAAAAAAAATGTTTGAGAAGCGTGGTCAAATATCAAAGGAAATGTGCACAAAAATCTCGGATGGATTGCGAGCAGAGCAGCAGCTAGCGTATAAAGTGTTCTTTATTTGAAGGTATGCTCCATCTCCTCACATGATCATTCTGTTAGTTCCTGGACCACGAGTTCTACATTTATGATACAAGAAGATGAATGACGAAAACGTCCCTAAACGGGAAACTTTGCTCTACGTTTTCCCTTTTTACTCAGATGTTATCTTGCGAATACACGCTCCTCTTATCGCTCACCACAGCTGAAAACCTCTGGCGATGAGAGGCAGTTTACCCAGGGCCGGGTTGTTCAAAGCTGGGTTAAGATAACCCAGAGTTAGTGCGGAATTTGAACTCAGATATGAGAGCTTAAAAAGCAAATTCAGTTTAATTCTCTTTGCCTACAATTTGATGATTCGATATTCTGAAAAGAATAGGGGAAATTACCGAGAAAGTGCTTTTGATAAAAAGAAACCCAGGTTAAAATTTAACCCTGAGTCAGCGCTAGCCAGTGTTCGAACAACTGGGTCGGGGTGTATAAATGGATACCGGGAACATTCTACCGGGGCTAAACTTGCGATAGAATAACATCTCCACCTAGGGGGAAGCCCTTACTCTTATTCTTTTAGAAGCTTAACGCGACAAAAACCAAGCCAGTGGCTCCTAGTGCACCTTTCCTTTATACGTTTTTTTTCCTAAAAGGTTCTGATTTGCTGTTGTCTGGATCGAATCCTAAACGTCTTCCATCGCATTCTAAGCTCTTACAAAGGGTAGCGGAGAAAAGATAAAAACCATAACGTGCACTATACTCTCCTTTCTTATCAGCATAGGAAATGTACATCTAAACGTTAAACAGAAGTTAAATTGCTAATTAACTTACTTTAGGTATGGTCTCCAGGGAGCCACTGTGATCCTTGAAAATGAGATCCTTGTTCTTTATCCGGTCCATGTCCTGCAACTTGTCATCCTCGCTGCCATCATCACCCATCCTCTTGGCGCAATATGGAGCGGATTCAAACAAGCTGAACGCGTTCACTGAGACTGATGACGAGAAAAGAGTGGAGGCGTTTTTGAGGGCATTGGTGCAGTTCGTGATCCAGTCTTCGGGCTTGTGAGAAGAGACCATCAACACCTGGCAAAAAAAAAAATGTATAAATATAATATGTAGCCGGATTTTTGAAAACGTTACCGCCAAATGGGCCCTTTGTGTCCAACGGCTTTTTTCCGCCAAAAATTCCAAAGCGGCCGTTATAAAAACTAAGAGTGCAACCATTGTTTTTTTTTCTCTTCTCCTCCTTTCTTCCTCCTGGCTCTTTCTTTTTTCCATTCTTTTTCCTTCGTTAGTGTGATTTTGGAGCTTATCGGGCCCAAGGAACCTGCCTTTTGACACCTTTCCCATGACTCAAAGAATCTCAATGTTTACGCCGTGAGATTCGGCATAACGGCGGTCGTCAGTCAACATTCGCAGGCAACAGCGCACTGTTACCCTCTGACGTCATGGATTTTGCAATTTTGCCCGCTATGAGATTTTGGCGGGAAACAGTTTGATTGATAGATGTCATGTGACCTTGAGGTTACCAATGGGAATGCGCGCTGATGGGAAAAATTGGGGACTTAAAGATTCAACGACGCGACTATAACTTCGCCTCGCAAAAAAATTGAGATTCTCGTGAAACAAAATTAACTTTTTCCCTCGGGAACAGTCATTAAGTGTTTATTGTTCTCATTGCAAAACCAATGCAAAGTGTTGGAGCATACCTGAGGGTGTTCCACTGCCAAATGACAAGAGGACTTTGTAAAAACATTGCTCGGAGTCAGCTCCAGTTTCTTCTTTTCGCACAGGATCTTGAATTCTTTTGAGAGAGATTCGAAGTTCATGATGACATCATAGGTGTGGAAGAACCCAACATCTCCTTGCCCCTTGCTAAGGCAATCCTTTGCGCCATTGAAGCCGTAGTATTCTTCCTTGACCGACAGGGTCTCGCAAAAATCCTCATCATCGTGTGACCCTTTGGGTTACACAAGGAATCAGCGTGAGTTAAGGTCGCCGGGGAACTTTGGGGTCTTTTTTGTTATGCATTTATTTAAAGCGTACGCACGAAGAACAACGACTGATATCGATAGGTTTGCGAGATGAGCGCATATTTCAATTGTTCACGCGCACGTGTGGGGTAATAATAATAATAATAATAATAATAATAATAATAATAATAATAATAATAATAATAATATGGAAATAACAATGAGGAAATCTTTAGAAATTTCAAATTTAATATCAAAACTCTTTGTACGTTATTTTTTCGCCTCAAAAATCCTTCAAAACATTGCTTGAAACTCGTGCTTTAGTCGGGACACCTTGGGGAGTCTCAAAATTTGACTTTTCCGACAATTTTGTGTCCAAGAATTCACGTCACCAGCTGGCACTGGAGAGGGGTAAATTTGGTAGACTGTAGTGTGTTATGTATCGAACTGAATCCTAAAATAGCACTTTTATAAAAAGATGTAAGGCATTTATTTAAGGGATGACAGATTTTGTTTATTTAAACGATTATATCTTGCTGGTAGACTTTAAATTACAAAATCTGCTTAATTCATGACACTAGAGATCTTAACTGATCATTTTTAAAATAAAATCACAGAGTGCTGTCTTTTAGCTTCTATTCTTTCCGCAAACTTGAACACTATTTCCCATTTGTGGTACAGCTGTGGCTTAAAGCATCGCTGCAAAGCGCAATCTACCAAATAAAAAATAAACCTCCTAAATTCCTATCATTTCAATATGCCTGCAAAATTTTATCCAAATAGCCCCTAAAACAGCCGAGATATAAGCGTTTTAACAGATGTAGCAAAGCAAACATTTTGTCTTATGAATTTATTCATACATAGGTGTCCCCCGCGGCCTTAAAAGCATGGAAAACATTGCTTTGCCAGTCCCCCATCTTATTCCATGATCCTTATTAGGACCGAACATTTCACTTTGGACGGTGGGGGGGGGAGGGGGTGGTTAGGGCATTATGTTTGGACAGTGGCTTTTTCTCTTAGCCTAATGCTGGAACCAAAAAAAACATTTACAGAGATACATTGACCGAGAAGGCCTGGGAAGAGGACGTTCTGAGACTAAGAATGTAAGCCCCTTGCAACCCCTTGCGCACCAGTTTGTAGACTGCAAAACAGCCCGTATTTTTGCGTATTGAAGTACGCGCGAGCAGTCAAACAAAAGGTCTTGAACGAAGCTGAAAAGAGAGAGTGAGACTGGGGAGAGACACGTAAAATACGGGTTTTTTTCTCTCGCTTCACACGCCCTACGGGCGTGCGAGGCTCGCGAGATCTCAAACGAGCACGCAAAAATTATCTCGGCAAAAGGGCCACACCGAAACACTCCAACAAAGGGATATAAACCCTTTTTGGTATTCTCAATAACTAGCTCTCCAATTCGTGCTAGATATTTTGACACTTAACATAACATGTCAATCTAATTGTAGCCTTTAAATCTGAGAACAAAATCCTATATGGTTTTGCCAAGCAAATGAACGCTGATTTGGCAGAGCTTTCGCATGATACTATTGATTTCGTCGGACTTCCGTGGCAAAACACATGAGGGAAAAACCATTTGTCATAAAGTACGCAGCAAGTTGAGCTCCATAAAAAATAAATTAATGCTCATTAAAGAAAAAGAACTATATTTAAACTTGTGCAAGGAAGATAGTCACTTTGTTCATAGGTAAATAAATAATGAATTAATGGATATATAATCGAATCAATCCCTACGGGCCAAGCTGCACTCCGCCGGCAATTTCTATCGCTTTAAAATCCAGATGATTCAGAAATTGGGGAGGGCGCTTAAAGCAATATTTTTCTTTCTTCTTTTAATTGATCACTAGTTTTAAGTTTTATTTTGTTTTCTACTTTCTTTGTTTAATCTACCTTTTCCGCAGCATTTGGTGGTTTTTGAGAGTTAATAAGTTAATAACTCTTCTTCAAGCTGGATTAAAGACTCGGAGTCCGGAAGAATTTATTAGCAAGAGAACAAAAAATCAAAATCTTCTACACGTAATAGGCAGATTACAGAAGATTACTTTTATCCTGCAAACCGGAACCAAATTGTTTTCTTAAAAGATGTTCACTCTGTAACTCCGGAAAAATATAACTTGTTTCATTCATGACTCTGTTTCGATTTTCTTCAGGTACGAACGATAACCTTGGAGCAGGTAGTGACACGCGAGTCCGTTCTGTTTCCCGATCATTTACTAGCTATCTTTGTTGTATATGCCCTTAATATTTCTTTATACGTGTCCCCTGGTAATCTTACCTTACAGTTTAAAGGTTACTACTTTGCTAATTAAGATATCGAAGTTGAGAGTATCCGCACCAATAATTCGAACGCGTCCAAACTGGTTAATCACAACGTGACCTACACAAAAATGAACTTTCATTTCCGTGGTACGAAGTTTGCCAAAATAAAATTTTGCGTCAGGCGCACCCAACGGAAATATAGTTCAAAACCACTTAAACATAGCATTGTTAAACGTAGTTTAGTATTTTAACGCTAGATATAGGCATATTTTTATCCCCTAAAAATTTTTCATCTGTTCGGATTTCCTAGCTGAAAGTCTAGTGATCCGAAAATTATAGGAATCAAAACTTACCTTTTCGAAAATTGCAGCCAGAAAAAGGGCTCCCGAAAATTATAGGTGACCTTTTTAGGGTAAAAATCCGTTAAAAATGGGTAATTATACCCTTTTTAGATGTTCGAAAATCCTAGGAGAGGCCGGCAAGCAAGAAATTTTACAACAAATGTTCCAAACATTCTAGATCTCAAATCGTCTTCCGAACAGATATTTTCCGAAAATTGACGTTGGGTGGCCCTGTTTACTTTAACAATTCGGTGGAAACGTGAAGTAACCTTTGACCATGGATGCTTTAAAAACCAATTTTGTTGGTTTTTTTTTTGCTTTTTCTCGTTTTGTTTTTGTGTGCGCAGTTTGTCATTTTTACGATGACAATTCAAGTCCCTATCACCAGGGTAAAATTTGACCGTGAATACTATAAAGCCCGAATTTTTTCGCTCTGTACGTGTCTGTGTGTTTTTCTTTTTTTAAGTCTGGAAAAAAAAGAGGAGGCGGAGGGAGAGATTAAGATTCTGCGTTATACCACTCGGTTTATGAAACACTCACTGGTCTGTTAAGCCGTTTAAAAAAGCGGGGAGGGGTGCATACCCGTAGACAATTCAAGCTATGAGAGCGGAGTGAAAAAATGACAAAACTCAGCCACTACAGACAAACACGACTGACCACATTTCCAAGACTCTACATTTTCCAGCAACAGAGTAAACAAAACATATAAAACATTTTTCTCTTTTTTCTCACCCATCTGTAGTCCAAAACGACTCAAAGACCGTCCGTGTCATGTAATACGAAACGTTTCTGGCTTCTCAAAAAACATTATCGCTTGAATTAAGTTTTAGCAATTTACGTAACAGCGATATGTATTCAGTAAAAGACTATTAAATGAAGTAGAATAACTATGTATTACATTACTATATTACATCCAAAATAGTAACATGTCACTTTCCGACATGAGAAAAACGAGACAATTAAGTGATGTAATTATTTTTTTGGCATTCTATTATAAAGGTCAAGATTTTGTTACTGTTTTTTCTTGATCGTGAATAAGCAAAATAGGATTTCATATGATGATGATGGTATTTATAATAATAATAATAATAATATTACGCTGATTTCAATTTTTTTACTGAAAAAAAAAAAACTAAGAGGGGATTGAAAAATTTCATTTTGACCTACCTTGACATAGTTTGCACAATGATCCTGGATTCGTCATGTTTGGATTAAATTCTTCATGTTGAACCCCTGGGACACAGCTCTCTTTGAAAAACTCTGCCACGCTTTCGTACACGTTCCCAACTTTCGGGATCACGTCTTTGTTGATGAGAGAACACATCGGAGATTTGAAGCTGGCCGTTATGTCTACGCCTGAATGGCAGGATTTTCGATCCTTCAGGTCTTTAAAGCCATTGATGTGGGTGTCAGTCTTCTTGACTAAGGCTATGGAGTAGTGCTTAAGGCGACCATACGCGTCTTCAAAACCGGAAAATTTGGAATTGTAATCTTGAATGGAGCTGTGGTCTTCTTTTTCTGACATGATCGGAATAAGACCGTACACCTTCCCAGCCTTGTAAATCTCTTCTCCCTCGGCCGTCATGATGTCTGCACGGCCTCGTTTAATCTCTTTCATGCATTCCTCCTTGCAGCCCTTCATCACGCAACCCCATTTCAGCCCTGATTGCAGCATGTAGTTGAATTCGGTCGTCATTCTCTTGCACTTTTTCATTTCACTCGGGTTTGTGACGCACCAGCGGGCTTGGGGCACCATGTCAGGGGAATGGGGTCTCTTCATACCGGGCATCTTCAAACCTTGCCATTGTTTTGGTCCCTCATCACGACTAGGCTTTGTTTTCCAGTCTTCAAAGTACCGCTTCCTTCGGTCGTCGATTCCCTTCCCCGGGTAGTCGATTCCCGCCTTAACAGTTCGATCTTTCCCTGAATGAGATGAATTAATGGAGAAGTTACAAAGTAACATCAACGTTAGCCGGTAAATGGCGACCCACGCACAAAAAAAAGTCTGCAGCTAATGGTGTTAAAAATTTACCAAGTAAAGTAAGAAGAAGGGGGAGGTGTCTATTATTTAAGTATTATCAATTTGCTCCACTCTCCTTGGAGTAATTAACGTGAGGTCATGGATAAATAAGCTATGAAATCTTAAATCAGGGGCACCCAAAGACGGTTTCCTCCAAAATACGTTGAAAACACTTTTAAGGCTATGCAAAGTATTTTTACATCTCTAGAAATGCATTCTAAGCGGCGCTACAAACGTTTTATCTGTTCGGTCATCCTAGGCGAACTTAAGTCTTTTCGAAATTTTAAACTACAAGGGCTTCAGTATTATTTTTCCGAAAATTTTAGGTGCAATCAACATGGCTCTTGGTGCAATTTAACGTTTTACGAAAGTAAGAATTTTTCTGATTCCTCTCTCCATCACATTTTAGAAACCAGAAATTTTAGGTTTCCTTTTTCTATGAAAAATAGTCTAACCTGGGTAGTGAAATATGAAAAATTAAACTTCTGAGAATCGTAGGGAATTTATTGGATAAGCTTCGAAAATTGTACATGAAAGGAACGTTCACCTATTAAAAATTTTTAGCCGTCCTTAAGCAAAAGAAAATTCTAGGCAATAATTTGCTCCTCCGAACATTACAGAAAACAGTCCGTGCCGGGTGCCCCTGTTAAATTTGGTCTAAAAAACGGACTCAACACCAACTTAGAAAGCCAGGTAAAATTACACCGCGAGACCTTTTCATGGAAATCTACGGAAATATGGATTACAATAACGAAACAAAATAAAGGAACAACTATCATGAAAGGAAGTTACCAGCTGGGAACTGTGGAAATCCTTCCACCAAGGCGAGGACGACAGGCAGTAGAGCCAGAAGCAATTTCATGTTGCAAGGCTGCTGTCAGGAAAGAGCTGACAAACACAAATGTTGTGCACTTCAATTTATAACCCTGAAAATCGCCTGATCTGCGGATCTGTCCTAACGTGATTGCATTCTTGTCAGATTGCCAGTTTTATCGCCTGAGAGTTATGCGCTCGCATTTCCGATTTAGAGCGATTGATTTCACTGACTTCACGCTGAGCATATGATCTTTTTTGCACTTTAATATTTTTCTGACAAACGTGCACGTATCACTTTCCCCTTTAAAGTTCCGGCTGTTAGGTAACAAAGAAACGCGAAAACTAGGAACACAGAAATCATTCATTTGAATTTCATTTAAATTTCGAACGAGAGAAAAAAGAGGGAGAGAGAGAGAGAGAGAAAGAGAGAAACGGCTTTCACCGTTTTAAGTTCACCGTTTTAAGAGGAATGTCCCAAGGCCGGTCGCCTAACCTCCTATTATTTCTTGTCATTGGGGTAGTTGGTGTACGCTTTCAGGTTCTCAGACTCTAGACAACTACATTCGACTCTCTCTTGTCGGACACCTAGATGGACCCTGTCTTTCTTTATTTGACTCTCTATAACAACACAACAGGGTTTCGAAAGAAGCAATTAGGGACGTTAAGTTCCAACGACGGGGACGGCAACGAGAACGTCGAAAAAACAACATATAAGCAAAACAACAACCTCGCACGTGCATCACCCTTTTTTGTACTTTTCTTTCCCGTTTTTGCACGACTACGACGTGAAAATGCCTAATTTCGCGTTTTATGGAGGACATAAAGAAGCAACGACAAAATTTTATTTCGCTTTCTGAGCTTGTATATGATCACTTGAAATTCAGCTTCGATTCAGGAGGGTTTGCCTACATTTGACGGAGTGAGTGGGTAGGAATAATCGCTATAAAGACTCAAAGAAGGCAAGTTCCTTTTTTATGCGACGTTCTCGTTGCCCTCGCGTCGTTGGATCTTAACGGCCCTATTAATGATACTCTTGGTCTCCTAGAACATGAAGAAAAAACATGTCTTGAAAGGAAAATTAAGTGCGAATCCAAAATTTTCAAAATCTATGCGCGGTTGGGGGGAGGGCGGGGGGCGAAACTGGCCACATATGGCCTAAACGGGTATGTGGCCGGTAAGTCTCGCTCTACGAAATCTGCGCGCAGCGTTTTTTTAGGTAGGGCTTGATTGCAGGCTAAACTGTACAGGCTATAGTTTTCAGAGTCTCGAGTATTAAACAGGGTACACAACTTCACTATTAAGCGTCTTGAATAGGGTGTCTTTTTGGACCTGTTCCTTCAAACAATGTAAAGGTTGGCGAAGAGCCATCTAGAATCAGTGTGGTGCCAACAATTTTGTTCTAACGCCACGATCGTAGTTTAAGAAATTGGTTACTAAATAGGGCCTCTTAAAACAGGAGAACAAAATTAACGATTTTTTTCTTCTGAAACGGGGTCAGGGTTTGAAGGCTTCCAGTCAGGACACCTCTACCCAAAACTTCCCTTTAGTACTACCTCCCCGGACTTCTTTCTAGGAACAAAAAACATAAAAGTGGCTAAAAATATGCGGCTTCTAACCTCTACAGAAAAGCTCTCCCCCCGGTATTCACTACCAAAGACATGTTGCGCACAGGACAGAAATCATACCGCGCATTGACGGAAGCTGTTAAATGATGTACAAAATACGCCTTGAAACAAGAGATCGTCCAGGTGTCCTGTGGACCGTAGAGTCCAAAAGTTCATTAAGAATAGAAAAGACGAAAAACATGATATCACTTGACTATATCAAGGCACAGGTAACGAGTTACATCCTGTAAAAGATGGTGATTGAGCCCGAGAAATTCAACACCGAGTGCTTTAAATAATGTTGCGCAACTGAATATTCATAGACTCTGGATGTGAACTTAAGTTTTTACAAAAGCGGAGAAATAGGTATTAATGTGAACGCTTTGTCACTGTGCACTGATTCCGCGCAAGCTTTTGCTGGAATATCATCTTTGCAGGACGTCATCCAGCCAGCACACTTACCTTCACGTTTCCTGTGTTGTGTAATATCCAAAGGAGATATCCCTAGTCATTTCAATTGAGGTTGAGAAGGTCAGAATAGAGGCTGCGCATTGGCCCATATTTGTATGACGTAAAAAGCATCGTGTTTAAATCCGATCAATACTAGAGTGAAAATCACGCGTCCTCACGGAGCTTAACACGAAAAAAGAGAGAAATTTTAAAAAGGCTGCAACGACGCTCAGTTGTGTGTAACTTCCGCGGTCAGGCGAAAATCATGTTAAGTCTGAGAATTGGTATAGTGCGCAATACCCGGCGAGCTACTGCTCAAAGGATAAGTGCGCAATGAAAAAGAATAAGAAATTTCACTTCAGTTCAGCTATCACGGGATTTCCTCAAAACTTGAAAAGGCATATTTTTCATCCGGATAAACATCTTGTGGTTCAGGAAATCTGGTCCCTTTAAGAAAATCGAGATAAGAGTTTTAAAATTTTTAAACTGAAATTGCTCTCTTTGAAACATTTAAAAAAACGAAAGCAGAAGCGTGAAACTGGCATGCACAGGGTTTCTTGCTCTTGAGGCAGAAAAATACTGCTCTGCACTATGCTCGAATTCTGCCCTCTCCCTTTATCATTTTTCGAACAGCGGCTGCAAATCAAGTTTACTCCCAACCTTTTACCGTAATTACGTTAAAACGTTTTTCCTTACTGTTTCCGGCTCAACTGTTAACAAGTTTCATCATATACTGAAAACAAGAATCAGCACGTACCTACAATAGGTGATTTCACGAATTAAGTTGCTGTGGTTTGATTTAATGCTTGGCCATCACGGATAATATGGAATCACTATTCCCACCTATGAAGACCTATTTATGCATGTTACGTTTTAGTCTTGACTGTGTTCTTGTCACACGCCGTCCTATCAGAAAACAAAAGACGCCTCTTCGGCAGGAAACAATACTATTGTCAGAAATAAAGTATTTCTCGCTGTAGAGGATAATGTGAACGATGTCAGAAACTTTTGTAAACCATGAGAAGAAACGCTACAACAAAATATTCGTTCCAGAGGCTAAAAAAAAACAATCAGTGTAAGAAACGTCGATTTAAAGGGCAAATAAATTCTAGAAAGAAACAGAGTTGTCAACGATGCCATTATTTTACAGTCGAAAATCTAACCATTATTTCATAAACAGACTTTATCAAGTGACATAAGCTGTACGGTAGTTTAAATAAAAGGAATCAAAAGAACCAGGGAAGTGTGGCAAACCCTACAGAAAGGTCAGCATGCGAGTGAAATACTTGAAACTCTAAAAGTTATTTTTGTAAGTAATGAATCCGTTGATCTGAATAAGGAAGGTAAACAGTTTTATTTTTCTAACCAGCGCAAAAAGTGAAGAGGCGAGGGTAATAATAGACAATACACAATATTTTACTTTGGGTCAGCTGGTATATCAATGTAATGTGAAATGTCATCCGTCACTTTGCCCCACCCCACTTCCCCATCGGGTAGGGGGGTAAAATCCTCCCAGCCCTTCTCTTTCTCCGGTCCCAGGATAATATAAAGTAATGACGCACAAAACGGCGCTATCTACGTCGTTTATTATTTTTTTTGACAAATATTGTATAGTTTTTTCTTGTATTAAACATCATGCACAGTAGTTACAAGAATGTCTGACTTTACACTCGGTATTCCACAACAAATGGTGCCGGGCTCGTAAAAACAAAGATCTCGGCGGAAATACACAATGAACAACATATAAAAAGGTGCTGGCAATTCTATCATATACAGTGAAGTTGTGGATGCGAAAAGGCGTTTGGCATTTGAACAATAAATGTTTTTTTTGGCATGATACATTCTTGCACTTTAAGTGAATTGAAGATGCTTCATAACTATTTATAATTTTTTTAAAACGCTTATGCGTTTAATAACATTGTAATGGACAGTTATTTCACAAACTGAACTGAAAGAGAGTTTTTCTTTCTCAAACCTCCACCTTCCCGAGTAAAAATTACAAAATATTTTAATAAACACTCTGTCGCCGTGACACGAGTCAATCCAAGACAGTCTTGGATTCTGGAATCCTTGCTGTGGATTTTGGACCCGGGTACTGGAACTCGGATTTTTTGTTAGTGGAACTTAGACTTCGGATTGCAATCGTTAATGGGATTACGGATTCTTTGAACTGTATTCTGCATTCTGCAGGATTCCAAATTTCACCAGCAAAAATTTCCCAGCTTCCGGAACCCCTTCTATGAGGCGAGAAAGGTAAAGGATGACGCTCTACAACATCTTACATTCGAACGGCAACACTCTCATAGGTTTCTGACACGATTATTTACTTCACAGCCGCCATGTGCACGCGTGCGTGCACATGGCACACGTGCCAGTGCACATGACACACGTACCAGTGTCATTAGAAAGGTCATACTCAAGAAATTCTTGCACACAATTCGCAACTCAAAGTTCAGCTTCCGTTTTTCACACTTGAAACACTCGTGAAGGCAGAGAGTTCTTTCGGTTTCTAAATGTAATATTACACATCCAAAGTTAAATATTTTGAAAAAAAAACAAACAAACAATATTTCAAGCTCCTAGTTGACGAAATAAATTGGAATGGTCTTTGGGCAAGAATCCGCACTATCATTCCTTACGTTTGATTTTAAAATATGGCTTTGAACTAGCAAAGTTAACAAGACTTTCAAGAGACGGGCTCCCACCGTGAAATAAAACGAAGTCTTATAATTGCTTTAAACGTTCATTGATAGAAAAAGACGAAGGACGATTTACTTCGCGGGCTTCACGTAAGCGTTCCCATTGGGCACGGTAACTGACGGCGTGCCAAAGTGTGAACTGTCCGAGTGTTGCACGGGTATGCTTGATCTTTTGATGTTTACAATCTTTGTGTCCATGACTTGGCAGTCTATCTGCATCATACTGATCTCGTCTGTGTTAGCGCTGTGACCTTGCTGCCATTCTGTTCCTAAAAAAAGATAAGAAAAACCTTTTAACTCTCCCTTACACACTGTATCAGCGAGATTTATGGGGCAGGCTACAAATAAACAAACAGCAACAACGACAACTTACTGTTCGGTGGTGCCATTATCATGAACGACATCTTAGGCCGTTGAGTTGCATTGTACTCTGTGGCAGGAAATACCAGGTGGTCCTGGAAACGAAGCATATCAAGAAGGTTTACAAAACGCTTTCCCTCTTACAGAAAATGATAGCCAAGTCAAACGATTTTTTGAAAATAAAAGTGCGTATACTTACTGCCCGAAAAGACACCACGTACAAAGTGTCCGGTTTCTTGTTTATTTCTTCCTCAAAAGTCTTAAACCTGAAAAAGCGCGAAGGTGCTTATCATTCAAGGAGGGAAAAAAGTCAAGAACAAAGTATTTTGGGCAACGGTGAGAGTGAAAAAACGTTTCTGGAAAACTGCCCACCTACCCCTCCCCTAACCCAACATTTTGCCCTAAGTTGGCTTTGGGGAGGGGTAGGTGGGCAGTTTCCCAGAAACGTATAATGAACCAAAATAATCGAAAGCGCGAGAATCTAACGTAACATTCAAGAACACCTGATGAGCAAGTCACTACTGGCACCCAATACATATCTACCAATAAACAAACAAAACGATCGCAAACATACAGGATTCAAGCACAACAGCTTAAGTTTATTAGATTTTTTCCAAAGAAAACGTACTTATCTGAGCCGCTGAACAACTGAACAGCATTCGTAGAGGCCAGGTTGTGCCTGCGCGAAAACTTGTGTCTGACAAACCAAGAAAGTAAACAGAGATTACTTAGACATACGCTCTCTCGTTTCTGATAGTGATTGCGAAAAAGATCTCGTTCTATTTACCTGTTTATTTTTCGCTTTACATCTGAAGTACAGTTGGAAGCAAATCTCAAGGCTAGCTCTTTGATTGCAGACTCCACCTAAAGTGAATTAAAACACACTGTGTTAGCAAAGTTCTGTTTCCTCATTTTTTCTCCTCAGTTTTGCTCCGGCACGAAATTATTCATACCAGATAGAGCGTCTATTTTTACATAACTGATAATAACGGTGATTTCGGAGCGAAATCTTTAACGAGCGCGAAGTTGCGCCGCTCCGATTTGGAAAGAGGAGCGTCACATATCGGATAGGTTCTGTGCTACACTTTATGGTGCAGGGCGAACAGTCGGACCGTGGCGGGAGTGAAAAGTAGAAAGGAGGACTGGAACCCACTTGGACGGAAGTACATTTTCAGGAGTGAAGATTGGGAATTAGAGAACCAAACCCTCTCGCCCAACAGCTCCAGCACGATGCCTGAGGGTCGTCAATAGGTTTTTCGGGATCCTGGATTTCCCTTATTTCGGGCTTGGGATTCGGGATTCTAAAGCAGAGTCGGGGCGAGATTCGGGATTTGAAGGTTGTTTGGGAGGTGGGATGCCAAAAACAACCCTCGGGATTACGGGCTTGAACGAAATTTTGGGTCGGGATTACGGGATTGACGAACCCTACTGGGGACCCTTATGTTTGAGGCGTGTGAACGACCAGTTCCACGTCTGTACCGGTGGTGTTCACACTATACATTACCGGATCAATCCAGTGCAGTATGAACATAGCCTAAAGATGAAAAAAGCAAATAACAGAAAAGATTGTGATGAAGAGTCAGTCCCACCTTGGTCTGCCTGCGTCTGTGTTTTTGCTGTTTTAAAACACGTTGATCTTCGTATCTTTTCACCCATCCAACCAGGGCTTCGTTTATTCTGCGGGATACACATAAACGTTGCATGGTTGGCATTTACTACAAGGACAATTTTATTTATAACATAACAAAAGTGAATCGCGCGCTCTGATTGGTCAGTTAGCCACTACCATTTGCCCGTGGGTGCACGCCAAGAAACTGAGCTAGCGCGGTAAAATTTAGGCAGATCAACAAATCTCCTCTCCTGACGGTAAAATACACCGATGAAATGCACAGATGAAAAGTGGAAGTTGAAGAAAATACTGAGCTGTCGTTTTGAAGGAAAAAAGACAAAAAATCAAGCGACAAATTTGCCCTGGATGAATTAATCACTGTTTTCCTCGCGGCTAGAATCGGCTGAAGGAAAATCGAGCGAGCGAAGATTAAAGGTACATTTTGTGTGGCTGTGGATTATACCAATTTTGTTTTCCAGTCCAATATGAGCTAAGACATGATGTTTCAAATTTTAAATACTTTTCAAACAAACGAACCACGTTTCGATCGCAGTCGGAATGAAATTGAAGCTGGTTAAAGAAAGAAACGGCCGCGAAATTTAGTGCCTAAGTAGACTGCTAGTAGTCTCTCTTCCGTCTCGCGCCTTCCATCACACGCTTGGTCAATTTCGTGTCTTGCGCGTTTCATTCGACCGACTAAGAAAAAGGAGAGGCTGCTTGTAGTCTAGTGTTTAAGATATTCGACGAACCGTGGAGGATAACACAAGTATCCGCCGCCTCATCTGAGGAAATATTTTTTCTCGGACGCAACGCGGTTTCAACGAAAACAAGGTGACACGTAAATATATATTCTACGTTGCTTATAAAGTATTTTAAACATTTCACCCTTGTTTCCACCTAGTGTAATAGTGAAACCCCACAAAACAAAATGGAAAAACGACATAGACGTTTGATTGGTTTGAAGACTTCCAACAAGTGAACCTATCCCAATAACTATTCAACAATTATTCCTCAAGCTCGAATGGGCTATTGACTCAGAGGTTATGAGGGCGAGAGGAACAATTGTGTTAGTAAAATCCAACTAGTTGGTCAAAAATACCGAGACTAAACAACTTTACCCACTTAAAGCTAGACTTAAAGCCTTTTTGGCTGCCAAAAAGCCGGCGCTTTGCGGTACTTGTGGGCTATAACATACAGCCTAGTAGTAGCTCACCCAATGAGAACGCAGCATTGATAATAGACCACTAGTTGGATTTTACTAATTCAGTTTATACAAGTGATAATTGCAAGCGGAAAAGCAGTAATGGGAAGAACTTTCTGGAAATAAAAGAGATAGAAAAAAGAAAATAATTAACTTTGGACAGGGGCAACAACTATACCTGGTAACTTCTGTCTTGTTAAATGAAGTTGGACAGTAAAACTGATCGTCTAGCGTCCCATTTCTCCGTTTACTTTCAATCTTTTGTCTTGACTTGGAATTCCTCCTCTTATTTTTACTGATCCTTCGCCTCTGCCTCGGATCATTTAAGAAATCCCATTTGTTCTTAATCACCATTAAATCCCTTCTTTCAGTGTTTATGCTCTTAAATAATGACGACTTCTTCTGAGATGTGTTGAGCATGCTTGGATCTGCTGCCTTGGCAACTGTCTGCCTGTTAAGCAGATGATTGTCTGGTCCAAACACTAACGGCTTATCAAGGTCAGTTCTCTCGTCGTCTCCTTGGTAATTTAAAAGTGCTCTTCCATGATGAATCATAGAACTGGGAATAAGATCGCCTCTGTTCAATTTCCACTGTTCTTTCAAATTGCTGTGGTTGAAAATAACACATTTAATTAAATGAAGTAATATTTTTAAACTAGGGCTTGATAGTCCAGCTATTGAAACAAAAGTAAACTTATGTCTGGGTTTTATGTGCTGTGTGACTGTTGTTGTTACAAATCATTCAACAAAAACTTGTGAACGAAATTTTCCAAATTTTTTGGCGGCGAATGGAATATATTTAACGACTTTTCCCTTTTTATTCCCTTCTGGGTTTTTCTTAAACAGTGTATCTCATATTTTCTTTTATTTGTAGAATTACTCACCTAAAAGGACCAACGTTCAAAGCTACAAACAGAATAACTGCTAAAACGCAGGTAGATTTCTTTATGGTACTCGTCAGTTCAGGGTGACGACTCCGCAACAGATTGTTCTGTTAAAAAACAAATACATAATCATTGGCTGGAATAATAAATTAGCCATCTTCTATCAATTTAATATACAAAAATTTAAACAAAGACAGTTTGTCTGCCTTCACTTATTCAGCGGCAGAGAAGCAGCTGGATAAAGATTAAGAATCAAGTTCACTTAGGAGCAGAGTTTGTATACCTGCTTCAAACCAAAAATTCCAAGACTTTTAAAGGATTTTCAAGGACACAATTCTCTTTTTTCAAGAACTCCATGCTGTACAAAATCAGGGCAATAATAATCGTTTTTATTGCCTGTTCACTATTTCGTTATCCTTACTATTCTGCCGGGAACATTTTACAGTTGGTATTAGCAACTTGAGAATCTGAGTTGCATGAACTAGGCAACAAATTACAAGGACTTTCCACTGCAATTTTCATATACATTTACTTAAATGTCGATAAGTCTCAGTAGTGATGCTAAGCTAGAAGCTTGAAACTTTAATAAAGTTATTATAATTATTATGTCTTCAATATCTACTTTGAAATTATTCAAGGACAGTCAAGAATTTTCAAGGCATGTGCAGACCCTGTAGTAAGATAGCCTGTGAGCAAGCTCTCCTATTTGGGCAAGCGAAGCGAGCCGCGCGAGCCTCTCATGCGTCTACTTTTCACAATATGGAGAGCTTGCTTACAGGCTAGTAGTAAGAACATACAGTGTGCACCTTTATTGAGGAGTTACTACCCACAATACTAAATGGACACAAACCTCTGCTTCTAGTTCACCAACTCTCCTTTTCAAGCTTTCATTCTGCACTCTCAATGATTCATTCAAGGATGAAATCTCCTTCACTTTACTTTCAAGGCTTTGAAGGTACTGTTGAGTAACAATTTTAATGAAACTTTAACCTCTTCCACAAATGATAAAAATAATAATCAAACAAAAAATAAATAATATTAAAAGATTAAAAAAATAAATTGGCATCCCGCTTTATGCAATAATGATACCTGACATCAGCCCTTCTAAGTACAGGACAATCCTCTTACAACACTTGTTGAAGAAGAGTGAGGGAGAAGAAGCAAGGAGCCCTGAAAATTTTGGGTGGGGATGTGTGCCATGTGTTTTGAAACCTTGACACTGTTTTCCGACCAAAATAATCGAATTTCTCAGTACTTTATTTGTAGATTTTATTCTAGATTGCTGTTCTCAAAAGGGGTTCTACATGACTAAGAACCACCCCACTCCTCTCCCCACCCCCCCCAACTGCACAGACCCAGGTTCCAGCAGGGCACAAAACCTTGTCCAATTTCTGGCCTTAAAGGGTATGGGGCTACACAAACCTATAAAATTAATACATGTAGATCATATGAGGGAGTGCCTCACCTTCCCCCAGGCTATAAAGACAATGGAGCTAATGATTACATCACATCTCTCAAATACCTCTTTCTTTTTCTTTCTTGATAAGCAAGCAGATTCTCTGTTTTTAATCATTCTTTGCTGTCTCTTTAAAAGCTTTGCCTGTAAGATCAGCAGCAATATTTTAAATATGGAAAATTAGTGCAAACTCATTTGGGCATTGCACATATCAGTGTCTTGGACATGTACAGGGATCTCACTGAGATTTACATGACTTGTTATGTTCTAAGGGTGTATGCAGTAGACAGGAATTGAACAGCTCGGAATTTCTTTGGTTTGGCCTATTTTTCTTTTGTAGCCGGAGGGGAAGATTAATAGTAGCTAGGGAAAATACTCAACCCTTTGGTGCTACACAAATCTTGACTGAAAATTTTGTAACATCCTCCAAAATGTACTACACAAAGCACATACATAAGAGCCATACAACACAGAGCATCTTTCAGAAGGTTTCAAATACATGTTCTATGGCTGTCCGAGAAAATATAGGTGCAGGGAGCATTGACTGCAAGCACAGAGTTGGTAAAGCTACATTTATGCTGTTAAAATCAAAGCCACATTCGACAATACTCACATCAGCCTCTGTGGAAGAACTGGTTGCAGTTACACTTGCATTTACTGTCTTGGGAATGGCAGGATTAACTTTGCTCTATAATAAAATTTACAAAATAAAACCAAAAATTACTCCTCATAATTATGTCTGTGATGATAAAATGCACATTGTGCAGTGGTGGATCCAGGGGAGGGAGTGTCTGTATTAGCATAATAAAAACTGGAGTCTCAACATTTCTAAATAAAGTTTAATACAGGAATTCAATAAGCATTAAAATAAATTTTTGTAAGACTCTTACCCCAACCACAACAGATACCACTGTCTTGGTTGGTATTGTGCCAGTACAAGGAATATAGACTGGAATACCTGGTAACAAGAAAAAACTTGAATGAGTTATTCCACAAGATATAAATTGAACAGCCAAATAAAATGGCCTTACATAGATGTACTGTAACTTTAAACCACCCTTAAAAAACACTGCCATATTTATTTCTTAACATGTTGTGTTGTGGTTTTGCTCAGATTTTGGATTGTCTATTTGAGGACAACATATATTTTGGGGGAAGTGATAAATTTCACTTATGATTAACACACTTTTATAATAACCTTAACTCTTTCTTTCTTTTAGTTATTTAGTGAAATTGGCACAAGATTTACAAAATACAGCAAGTCAGTCTTGAAGGTCCATGCCCAACCCCACTTCCCGAGAAAGATCTGAACAAAAAACAACAATGTGATGTTCCACCCTAAACAACTACCGCGGTAACTAAAGAGCAAAAACAATTTAAAAAATACTACAAAAAACAACAATGAAAACACCAATTTACTCAGTTTTTAGAATGGCTTAACCACTTTTTCTTCTTGCTCATCAGAGTCAATGAGCTGCATTGGTGCGTAAGCCTCTGAGAGTGCATGTTAGCACTGCCTTGTTGTTGAAAGGGTAATTATTCTGGGGTGACACTTATCATAATCACTTATTCAAGTCAATACTAAGGGTGATTATTCTGGGCTGACACTTATCATAATCACTTATTCAAGTCAATACTAGATAAACAACCAACTTTTTTTAAGTCATAGGCATGAATCATTCATCGTGAGAGTTCTAGGATTTCAAGGAAAGTTACCATGGCCTTTTTTCTTTCTCACATTAGTTCTAGTTGATTTTGCAAATGAACATTTCTAGAAAATGTATCCACTGGCTGTAATAACTGAATTTACTTTCAGACATGAGAAACAGGTCTACAGGAAGAGAGTTCATGGAAATTGGTAAAACTGATAAGATCTAAAAAATTTTAATTTAGACAACCACAATACCTTCCGCAGGTTTGGCAACTGGAGTTTTTTGGATGCTGACAGGAACAGAGGTAACGGGCATTGGTTGAATGGGTTTGACATTGCATGATGGCACAGGCGTTCTTTCTTGTTTTACACTACACACTGGCGTAAGAGTAGCTTCTGTTTTGATGCATAAAGCATTTGGTAGAAGGCTAGTTTGCGGCAACACAAAATCTGAATCACTAGATTGATGGACAGGTGAACTTTCTCCATTTATAAGAAACTGCAAGAAACGAAAGAACACTTTGAATAACATTGTAATATCATTACTGTCCACTAACTGAATGGATTAAGGAATTTTTTTTTACACTAGATATAACTTGAATGGACATTTTATTCCCCATTAAGTGAGTAAGAATTGGTGATAATTGTGATGATGATGACGATGATGATGGTGATGAGGATGAAGACACAGATGATGATAATAACAATACTAATCTAGGTTTACATGAATGTGGAATTTTAGCGTAAATACCGGTATACATTGAATAATACAGTGAAACCCAAGAACAACTAATTTCTACATATAGATGTACATGTACGTATATAATGAAGCCTGGAGGTATAAGATGGCATTCTTAGTTCAAGTTACAGTAACATGTATGGAACACACACCAATACATTTACTGTACTCCCACTATGACAGATGATTTTTCCAATCCCTTAATAATTCCCAAAGTATACTTGTAAATCAACATGGAAACAACAAAGATTTGCTATTTGTTTATTCTTTGTATTATTGTTTCACTGCAGGCTGCAACTGGAATGAAGAACAAAAAATTTGAGAATCGATCTATACTTAAAAAAACTCAAATCTTCCAAACTTCACTTCCCGCCACACTTAGAAGGAATTCTCTGACATACGGTGTTTGAATATTCTTTCATAAAGTCTTTTGAAAAAAGGTTGGATCCCTTGAATGCAATTTAATAAAGGTGTTAAAAGCAAAGGTATGGGGTGTCACAGTATGGCTGCTTATCTTGTTTTTTAAAAATAAATAATGAACCAAATATGGTGTAGAAATATGTAAATAGTATTCTACCATTGACTACAAAACAATTTATTTCTCCAGAAATATCAAAATTACTGATTCATATAAAATGGATGAATGTGATTCTGCTATGGACATCATGTGTAATAATTATACATGTATGATGAACCTGACAATACACTGTAGCTCAGCATAAAAATTCTGTACATTAACTTTTCCTCGTTTAGACTCAACTATTGAAGACATTTCTTGTAGGTTCTTTTTGAAAACTGATCTATGTTTTACAAGTCAAAAGGAAGTTAATGTTAAAATGGTTTCAACCTAATAAGCCATTTACGAGTTCCAAAACCTCTCACTTTTAAAACAAGGCTAAGTGCAAAATCTTTCTTGGAAACAGAGTTTTATTTGCACGAGATTAAAGAATCATTTTCATATTCATTAATGGATTCACACGTAGCCTGACCTCCGCTTTAAAACAGAGGTTTGGAACAACTTGGAAATGGCACTTTTGTAGGTTTAAAATTCTCATTTTCTTTTGTTTTCTAACTTCATAAATAATTAGAGTTTGGAAATTGAGAATCAAACTACAAGTTGGGACCATTGTAACCTACAACTTACATTTTATGTGTGGACAATTTTGGAAATTCTCTCAACGATATTTTTCAAGTTACTATGGTATCTCCCATTCTCTACTTTAATACTCTGTGTACCTGATTTTCTGGTGAGCTTGGTAGAGAAGCACAAGATGAATTTGAGGAGGAAGGTGAAGGAGGTTCTTCTTTAACACAGACACCTGTTGAGTGACAGCATAGTTGGCATTTACATGTAATTAGTGGCTGTGCTTGTCAAGTGAGGATTTATAGAGAAAGCTGAATAAATAATCCCAAACAAGAACAGACTGAGGTAATATTTTAATAAATTGCTTGAGGAACTCACCCGAAGTAAAATTGAAATCTTCAAGCATAGGTGAAGGGGGATCAGATGCAAGACTTGATAAAAATTCACTGAATTGATCGTCTTTGTCCTTGGCAGAAGAAATCAACAACGAAACATGTTTCATTAAAATTGCAACAGAAGACGCATTATAGCGAATGGTAAAATAATATTTTACACCTATTTCCATTAAAAATATAAATCTAGGTCTTTTTAACTAACACAACGTATCTGAAAAATCAGGTTAACAAGGACACGGTTAGTTTGGAAAAAAATATGGATTTGTCGTGATCAGTCTAAAAGCATAGTTCAAGAAAGTTACGGTCGCCCTGGAAGCAAGATTTTACAGCAGCATTGTTACACAATACCCTTTGTCTGACATTATCGATCTCTCAGTGCATGGGAAAAACGCATTGCAAATGACAAAAAAGACTAGCCAAAAGAGGGATTTAAACACGAATACTAAAAAATTAATCGCTGTAAAACGTAAGGTCTAGTTTTTGGTTTTCGAATACAAAGGAATACTACACTGAATACTAATAACAGCTGGCGACAGCGATTATATTCACAGAACTAAAACCTTCTTTTTTTAGAGCGCAACCCTTAGAATTTTTGCATGTGACATTCTCTAAGAATAATATCCTTTCATTTATAAGAACTCTTAAGATATCGAATTCATTTGTTAGTACTTCCTGTAGAAACGATAATGCTAAAATTATTTTGCACGCGGAAGCTTTGCTTGAAGTCTCACATTTCAGGCCGGCCGAACTGCAAGCAACCACGGAACTGTTTCTAACACAACTTAGATGCTTCATTTATAAAGATTTTATGACTAAGGATGTAGAATAAAGGGTTTGTTCACATTAAGTCAATGAAGATGCACCACTCTAGACGAATAAGCACGACGTTTGCGTTTTAATTGGAAAGGAAAACTAATAAAGTTCACGCACGAGTGACTCACGCAAGTTGAAATGACACAGAGCGACATCGTCTGAAGCTAGATATTTTACCTCCATTTCCAAGCTTTGGCTTTCGCTTCCTAAAAGTAAATCCTCTGGATTGAATTTTACGTCTGCGATAGAGTCCCCTAAAATTAGAAATAAGAAAGTATAGGTGAGATAAATGAGCTAAACAAATTTCATTTTCTGGTTTCCGCTGAAACCCAAGCGTACGTCGAAGACGCATGATAAAATACTAACCCCAATCTTCAACTCCCAGCAGATTGTCTGCAAAAAATTTCGTGTCCGGCTCTGACCAGGCTAAAAGTTCTGTCTGAGACATCATATTTCACACACATAAAAAACTCCCGACACCAAATAAAAGACAGTAAAAACCCTACACTACAAACCACTTTACAGCTCGAACGACTGATTCATCACTGAAATACCGGACAGGGTATTAGTACTCAGATTCCACTCGGTCAAAAGCCCGTATCGTAAGGCGTTCTGGGATAGAACGCCAACGATTACCCAGCCTGCGTAGCAGGCGCTAGGAAGTGGTGGGCACAAGAAAAAACGGGCGCGCGAGTCGCGCGCGCCGGTTCTCTCTTTCGCTCACTACTTCCAAGCGCCTGCTACGCAGGCTAACATTTATGATATATATTTAACAAATAGATTCCATGTTGCCGTGCGTCTGTTCAGTAATAGATCACAGATGACGTCAAAATGTCGTAAAAACAAAGAAGTGGCACACGAGCCGCAGGCGAGTGTGTCACTGTTCTTTTTACCACATTTTGACGTCCTCTGTGATCTATTACTGAACAGACCCACGGCAACATGGAATCTATTTGTTTCATACAATGATCAGAAAAGAAAAAGACCGATACACATACCTGCCTCGAACCGCTTGACCTCTTGAGGATTTGTGCAAGTTTAGGCATTTTTTAAGTCCCAAACCCAACTTTTCATCTTAGCTTCTTCTTTATCTTACTTGTGTACAGTTTCTTCGAAAAGTTTTTCACCGTCTTTTCTTGCTCAAAGAAGAATAATAGCGAAAACATTTTGCAAAACAGCGAGTCTCTCGTAGCGAAGACACACGATGGCAACTGTTGTGAAGATTTCTTGTAGTTTAGGCAATGTCAAGTAGTCAATAGCTTTTGTGGTCTCCGTTTCTCCATTTTTCTTCTTTGTAAATAGCTCCTGCTAAACTTTTTCCGAAGCTTTCACTTGCCTCAATCCGAAATAATCTCACAAACATTTTCAAAACCGCGTGCCATGTTGAACAAAACAAAGAAAACAAGTTTCCTGTGACGTCATCCATGTATCTCTACTCTAATAGATAATGGGCAAAGACCAATCACAGCGCGCGTAGCATTCACCTCATTGTATAATTCATAACAGATTTGTGGAGCCTATTGAAAATTGCGATAGTATTCACAGTTTGCCCTAACTTATCGACCTTTAGTCTGGGAATTTATACCCGGAAAGTGTTCCAAGAGCCCTACATTCTAGCCTGAATTTTTCCGCCCTCTCATCCGCTCGCAGAGGTAGCGGCTGAAATTCAGGATATCCTACTGACTCTTCGAATCCGCTTTTGCCTTTCCGTAGAAAAGTCCATCGGTGAATTATTCATGGTATCAAACAAATGAGCTGTCGTATTATGCCTTAGGGTTGATAGCTACGATTTTGACTTAAAATTACTTAGACTCCATAGGGTTTGTTTGTTCAACCCAAAAGGTGCTCTTCTCACTTTCGATCAGCTAAGAAATTGAATCTTATGCGCATGTGCATCAGCTGACTATTTCCCCTGTTTCAAGGTTTTTGAAAGGGCATTTCACTTGCGCAAAAGTAAATACAGTAAAATATCGATTTTTTGTCCTCGGTTTAGTCTGCAGTGCAGGCGTATTTTGGGCGGGCGAAAGCTGCTTGTTTATGTTCGTACTGTTGTTTTTTGACTCGCCCCGATCCAAAAATTGGCTTTAAAATATTTTTTTTCTCGTGGATGGTCAAAAAGCAAAAAAAAAAAAAACAGATGTCACACGATAAAAAAAGATGGAAAATAGTTTCGTTTCCAAAGTATCGCTAGGCTTGAGAAACCGAGTGCTAGAGCAATCGGGATTCCCCTGACAGATAGTTTAGCTCGGCGGAAAGACAGAGAACAAGTCACAAAACATAGGGAGGTAGGGCATTCTGCCAATTACAGATTTTGTTTTCTCCCTCCCTTCCACCTGGCCGGCCACTACAAGCGTCCTTCTACGGTCAACGTTCCTAACGTGCGAGGAACGAGGAGAGACAGCTGTATCCGCAGGCTACCTGTCCCCCCTCCCCCCCCCACCTCCCTTGCTGAGTCAGCTCTTTGTTCACTTTACCAGCCTTTTGCTGCTGTAGTTATCCTTTGCTTGTGGGCTCATGCAGGCTTCATTTTTTAACGCGGCGCCGACAAAAACAAGAAAGCGACAAGAGTTTTCAGTAAACCTTTATTTCATTCGTCTTATTCGTAATCAAAATTCAGTTCAATATCCGTAATCAATTTTAAACGTTTTTCTCGGAAAGTACTTATATAAAATGTTAGTAGAATTCAGCTCTGTGGTATGACATGTATCCTCTATGTTGTTAAAATGAACGCTAAGCGCGCGGCACATGACGAGTATTTCAGTTTTCCAGTTGGTTGTATAGGAATGTGCTTTGTTCGCCCAGGGATCGGGTGGGTGGGGACTGGGTGGGAGGGGTCGGTCAGGTTCCTCATGCGGAACTGCCCTTCCTCTTCGGCATCTCCTTGCCTATAAAACTGGACGACCGCACATTACATCAGTTACTCGCAAGCATGTATTTGCAAATAGAGGAATCAGATCATTTAAATCAGTGTACCCCTAAAATATAAATAAGGCAATTCATAACCCATCATTTTGGAAATTTCCGTTTGCACTGAAATGGGTCCTCAAATATAAAACGTCTGAATTGAAAGTCATAAATAAAATCTTCAAGAAATAGCTATGAATGCAGTTTAACGCAATGAACTAGTGATTTAAGTTTTTTAACAAACAAATGTTTCCAGAGCGGTGGCTAGACCTCATAGACGAGGCAAGATATGCGAACATTGAAGGCGCGAGCTGCTAGGTGAGTCTGGAGGCTCCCAGAAAATCTTGAATCTGAAAACTCTGAGAGGCTTTTTTCAGCATTGATCATAAGGTATTTCCTCATAAACATCAACCTCACTAATGGGGGATTATGGCTCATTAAACGTTTTATGGGAAACTGCCCACCTACCCCTCCCCTAAGCCAATATTAACACTTACTACTCACCTAGGGCAAAATGTTGGCTTAGGGGAGGGGTAGGTGGGCAGTTTCCCACAAACGTATAATGATCGTCTTAGGAACGTCTTTTCGAGGGGAAGAGCGCGGACTCATTTCCCGAACAGCGGCCGGTAATCGGGCCAAGTTAAAGTCTTGATTAGACTAGTGCTAAGTCTTGCCTCTTTTTAGCTACGCCCCGGTTTCAATACTTTGTTTTCGCTATTAATTTTTACACAATGACCACACAGGTCTTCCCTTATTGTCTAGAGACTACAACAAAAACTGCGCTACGGTTAACTGGCAAGTCCACCAAATCAAACGCAGCGTAAAAACTTTAAAACTCCTTAGGCAAATAAAGCTTCCAAATCAGCCCAGCTAACGTAAGTTTAAAACTGAACTCGTTTCCCTCCGCTTGGGAATCCTCAAGCGGCACTGGTTAACCAAAATATCTGCGCAACACACTAAAATCCTCTCATTTGTGATGTCGTACTAGGGAATAAATAAGCTGTGCAGACTTGATTGAATATCTTCTCTGGCGTCAGGGCTCCGACGCAAAAAATTCTTTGTTTAAAGCCGTATTTGGTAGATACAAATCACCAGTTATCACGGGAACTATGTGTCTGCTGACAGCAATGCCTCTGATAATCCCATGTGGCAATGCCCGACTCCTTTGCCTCCTTTCCCCGTGATCTATCAGGAGCATTCTTTTTATCTCACTTTCTCTGAGCGTAGGATTTTCCATTCACCTTTAGAGCTACTGTTAGCTTTGTTGTTCTTCGCTTTCTTCAAATGTAATTAAGTTCTGTGGAACCTATAATGGATGCAAAAAAAGGGCAAACATGTTCAGTAACTGTACAAGCATGACATTCCACCTCGGGTTCCACCCACGTATTGAAGCTTTTGAACATACAAAATGACGAGTCTTTTCAATCGCCAAAAAGTGTGTAACTGCGGGAAGCTCAATGAAGCAGTGGACAGCAGGGAGTGTCCCAGAAATATAAAAGAGTTCAAATTGAATGCCATAGAGAAATAAGAAGCAATAAAATGTAAAGTTGGATACATAAACGCGTGTCACTACTAGCTTAGTAGGTAGAGCGCTTACCTGCAATGCGGGATGTCACGTGTTCGATTCCTGGGGCCGGACCAATACTCAAGGTCTTAAAATAACTGAAAAATGGAGGTACTGACTTTGCACTGCAAACAGTTAGATCTTCGCGTAGCTCGCATGATCACGTAAAATGGCGGCCCCGATAGTGTCCTTGATTAATTCTTCAGTGCTAACTCAAACAAAGTTCAGTTTTTTTTCGTAGGAGACGAACGCTTGTCTACCGCGAGAAAGCTATAAACTGAGGATAGGGGATGGGATTGGCCGTGGTGCCTTCTTGAGGCCAATTTGCGAAAACAGCAAGGCTTACCGTCTGGTCTGGTTTCTCTTTAGCAGCTTGCCTCACATATGTGTACCACGTCAGAGCAGCAGACTGAGATCCTACCTTAAACTTGTATGCGTTTCCTGTGAACAAAATAGACACACGAAAACAAACCTTGAGAGATTTTACGGTGGTTATGCATTTTCCCAACACAAAGTTATGTTAGCACGAGACGTACTGAAACCTACCTGAGGTATCTCTCAGTAGTCAAGTTTCTGTCAAATAACATCCGCTTTTTGGCATCTCACACTTAAAGTTGGATTTTATAGGGGAAAGCCTTTTAAAGAGAAATAGCCACGAGTCCTACCCTTTGACTCACCACACCACCACCTGTGTACACGTGAGGGGTGGGGAGGGGGGTTCCTTCACCTCGAAAGTCAGTTGCGTTGCGCTGTTCCAGATCTGTGAAATTCTTATACGATTGACTATTTAATCCAATGCTCTCATTCTTTCACAAAGTACTACAGTATTAGTTCTTCAGTATTTTACAAATGAAATTCAATATTTAGATTTCAGTCGCATAGTTGTCAATAAGGGCTTGGGGCTGAGGGCCGGGGATTCCCCCTGGCTACTATAAGCACCACCTCCGGCTTCTTCCATAGGAAGCAAAAGGAAAATGGTACCAAAAGAACTTCCTAGCTTTTCAATCCCCCGCCTATTAACTACATGTGCCCATCAACTTAAAATCTTAGTGACAGTCCTGCACTTGTCCAGTAAATTTCTGCGTTTGAACTCCTAAGAGCCAAAGAGTAAATTAATCACGGAACCGCCGTAACAACAAGTAGCACTGACTCACTGTGCGTCATCTCACCTCTGGTGTCGTCTGTGAGTTGAAACGTGTCCTGGTGACGAGGATCTTCCAGCAAAACAACCGTGAAGTTAGTAATATTCACCATCTTGTGAGCCTGTCTTCTAAACTAAAAAAACAAGACCAACCAAAGAAAACAGAAATGAGATCAGGGACAATAATGCAGGGAACTTAAAGCGAAAAAAAACGAAGGAGGAGATGGAGTTCGTTTATCGTGTTTTACGATCGTTACTTTGTTGTCGATGGTGACGCTTTGACCACTTTCTGTTGTTTTACCTCAGGCGATTGAGCCCGATTGGTACCACAGCGGATCGTCTAGAGAACAGCTTCTAGTACTTAAAACAGGAAGGTGCTGCTAATAATCCCACAGATCCAAAGGGCAAAGTCACCCTGTACGGACCAATAGGAAGGTGTCAAGACAATGTGACTTTCGTGAGGCAAACGATAGATGGAAGCTATCATACCTAAACCACCATTGTCGATGAACAAATCTCTAGACTTCGACTAGTCACTCATTTCCCTGACGAATAAGGGTGGATTTCCACTGTCGCGTAATTTTTACGTGCGTATCCGCGTAAAATTTAATTTATGCGCGTAAATAAAACAGAAGTCATATATGAAAGGTCGTGCGTAAACGTAAAAGTTGAACCTCGCTCAACTTTTACGTTCACGCGCGACACTTTATGCGTTGCCTCTATTTTGTTTACGTGCGCATGCACAAAAACATTACGCGACAGTACATGGAAAGCAATCTTAATAAAGCGAGCAAAGTACACAAGAGTGCATGAAAATTGTTACGCGCGAGGAAGGTGACACGCAAAAGAGAGAAGAGAGAACCTATCTTGCCCTCGATTGTCGCCTTTCACGCGCGCTCGCGTATTTTGAGTGCTCTCTATCCTTGAGGAAAATGACTAGTCGTACTTATATAACATTTTTCGTTACAGAAATAAGTAGAATATCAAGAATGTTTAAGTACAACTTACAGCGGCTCTGTCCCGTCTTCCAAAGGTTCTGTGCTTGGGAAGGAAAAAATGAAGCCAGTTTCCACAAAGACCCGCCCAGAACTTTTGCCACGATGACACCTACAATGAAAGAGCAGCGAAGCTCATTATTATTACTGGTTTGTTTGGGAGATAACAGGGATTAGGAAACAATTTTACGAAGCAAAAATGTAGCTTCAGTTGAATTATTTTCTGCTTATTACTATATACCAACTCACCGCCAGCTTTTTTCCTTCTTTTAATATTTTCTTTCTTTTGACGAACCCTAAAGAAAAATTCCAAGATACCGAGTCAAACTCCGTTAATACGGGACACAAGGGGGCCTTGGAAAGTGTCCGTATTAAGGGCCTGTTTACATAGAGGTGGGGGACCCCAGGTAGGTGAGTTAACATGTGGTGGGTCACCCCACCTACCATGTAAACGTGATAAAACTAAAATAAGAAATTATACAAACAGGCGGGTTACCCCACCTAAGCGGGTTACCTCACCTACCTGGGGTCCCCCACCTCCATGCAAACAGGCCTTAAGCGGGTTGAATTTAGAGAAATGTAGGGGTTTCTTTCCCCAGGGAAAGCAAAGCAAACTGTCCGTAATAATGAGGTGCATGTCTGTGAAGCGAGGTTTGATAGTAGTTACAATTCCCGAAGGTTTTACAGGATGAGATGAAAAACAAGTCACCTTTCCTGTTCTTATTTTCTATGGGACAAATTCATTTCAGGTTTTTTATGACCCTCACAAAAGAAGTGATGTTCATACTACCATAAAAACGTGCCTTATTTTCGCTAACACTTCCAGGTAACTGCATAATTACAAATTTTCTTAGATCTTAATAAAAGGTGAAATCGCAATGTTCAATAATTTTCCAGTTTTTTTAATGTAGCACACATACCCTGAGACTTCACATGCGCATTAAAGTTGGTTATGTTTGCCAAAAAAGAGATATATTTACATTAAGGTTTGAGTCAACTGATTACCTTCGACAACAAAGTCGTGTTCAGGTGAATACTGGCCTAACTCTGTGCTACTAGCATCGCTGACGATACTATATAGAAAAAGAGAGTGGGAGAGAAATAAATCAAGCACTCGAAAAAAGGCTCTGAAAGGAGAAATATTAAATTAGGAAGTGAAAAATAACTAGAAAATCGTACAAGCGAATCAACAATGAAGTAAAACATGTAATGTTTAATTGTACTTCCATGAATAAGAACTTATATAAGCTTTAAAAGCGTCCCCACACCGAGCCCTTTCCCTTAATTAGCAACCTTCGTTTCTAAACAGCTAACTTCTCTCTTGAAAAGCCTCCTTTTAAAAAACTCAGGTGGCTGTTTAAGAAACAAAGCCAGCGTTACAGATGTGAACTAACCCCGAACAGAGGTTTAGTTTCGGCTGAGGTGCAGGCTAAACTAAACAGTGATGCCCACAGTTTACCGTAAGAGCGTAACTGAAAAGTTGCACGGTAATAAAACGAAATTTACCTGTGCCTGTCAATAGTCGAGTCTGATCTCGTCAGATTTCCTGGGGACAAGAACAAAGTGCAAAAAGACTTAGGCCCGGTTCAGACGCTGTACTTTTCATGAGCCGAACGTAATTCGAATTAAGGCCGACCCCAATTATTTAGACCGGCTAAATTGATTCAGACGCCGATCTTAATTGCAGCTGAACTAAGTTCAAAAGGCGAAAAATGCTCATTTCCGTCAAGCTGCTTACAAAATACGTTATCATAATTTATGCATTAAGTTCGGTACATGAAAAGTTCGGCGTCTGAATCAAAGCCGTTCAAAAGTCGCTCCAAAGGCGAAATTCCCGGCCTGGGCCAGGCGAAAAGAACGGCTGAGCCGTTCCAAATTGAAACAGGCGCCCCTAATTGATTCAGACGCCGAACTTTTCACGTACTTCATTTAATGTATTAGGTTCGGCTCATGAAAAGTTCGGCGCCAGAACCGGGCCTTTGTTTAGTTACATGACAAATCCTCTCTATGTGGGCCTTAGTAATGATCGTAATTTTCTTAAAGCTTGCCTAAAGGTACTCACCAAGAGAGGCCTTTCTTTCATCAATAACCATGCTGTCGTCCAAAAGATTGCGTGACCCATTACTACTCGCTACACTGTAACTGCAAACCAACGAAAATGAGACTTACAGTCGTGAAAGAGAAGTGTCGCCGAATAGCTATGGTTAGAAATAAGATTTTGATAAATAGAGGTCCCTCCCACTTTAGTCCCTCGTGCCGTCATAATATAAGTTGTTTCATTGGCACACTGAAGCAGGCCGATACTGGCTATTCCAGGATTAAAATTTTAATTCTCGACAGGAGTTTTCAGAAAACCTTTATTTCATTCGTCTCATTTGTACTCAAATATCTGTTCAAAATCCATAGTCAATTTTAAGCGCTACGTCGGAAGGTACTTATATAAAAGTTGGTAGAATTCAGCACTGTATTATGGCGTGCCCCCTACGTTCTTTTTATCTCCGTATTGTTAAGTTGTCATAACTCGATCTTAAATTTAAGGATGAAAACAACTTTCTAAGCACCAGTTACATGTTCCTGTACAAGAAAACTTTACATGAGTCAGGGTTATGTTGAATTGGACGATGGGTCTATTTTGAAAGACGAATTTAGCCCAAAATTCTTGCGTAACGTCAGAATAGCCAATGAAAGGAGAGACAGCGCATCCAAACCATTCAATTATGCAATTTGACACAACACCGAACAGCTTGTTTAAGGGCCATCTTTGCTATATTAGTACTGCTCTGCTTGTTGCAAAGTATCTTACCTCAAAGACTCCGTCGACGAGAGGTCACCAAACATCACTACACTAAAATATAAAGATGGACAATATTTATGAAGTTTGCAATACCAGGCTTTTGGAAGCAGGTACCCCACGGTGAATTGGCATAATTATTTTGTAGTTTACGGGATATACATTTGGTTTATTTTTATTCTCTTCTTTTTGTGGTAAAGGGGTAAACGAATCATTAGACTAGCTTAAAAACACGTTTTCTCTTTAACCTTCCCCTATGTTTACTTTTGGAAAAATACCAACAGTAATAAAAATAACACCAATTTTTCCGACCTACATCCCGAGATGGCGAACAATTCAAATTTGCTTTAAAATAGAAGCTGCTATGGACCTACCCTGGATACCAGAGAATTTTTCTCGCGTACAGCGAGATGCTTCAAATCCTTCGCTTGTTGCCGTAGCAACGAGTGGAGAAGCCGCGCAAAATCACTTCACTTCAGGAAAAAAAAAAAAGGGAGTGGGGGGGAGGTGACATCCCAGCTCGAAACAGCAAACCTACCTTGCTCCGAGGCTGGCAGATTTCCTGTGGCCTGGAACAAATTTAGGACGAGATGGAAAAGGCGAACTTCTGGGCACATCTGTAAATTGGAAGTGTTTATGGATGTATAAATAATCATGACAAAAAGAGCTCCACTTCCAATTTATAATTTGAACAACATTGGCCATACTCTCCTAAACTAGGACAAATCAAAGTTTCATCCCTCTCCATCCCTCAAATATTTTTTTCTTAAACCACGACAGCACAGACCTGTACCGTGACAATACAATCATAGCTTCCTCCCACGGTACATTTCTCATCACGGTGGTGTTTTCGTAAACGGGTAAAGGGGTTGCAGTGAGTTTGTTTCCCGCGCTAAAAGCAGCCCGCCGTGAGTCTTTTTCGAGGGAAATTTAATAGCCACCCTTTTGATTGGTTAGTTTCTCACTGGACTAAAACGCGAAGTAAACATCTCCGTAGCTGTCATGGTCGGTACCTTTGAATTTACCGGAGTCCGGGTTCCTTTCACACCTGCTGCCGCAGCCCACGAATGTCGCTCATGGGTACGGGTTGAGGTCGGGTTTTTCTCGTTCTGAATTCCGCTTTGTCAGAACGGACCGCCTTAGTAATTTTGTTACCCACAGTTACAATAGGATTTAATTGTTTTTGCCTTCTGTGCCACGTGTACTTATGTGTTCTGCGTATTCTTGACCTCCCTTGTAATTTAGTGTTATACACTATCAAAAGGGTTTAATAAACTGATTATTATTTGATTATTATTATAATTTTGACGTTTCCATGGTTATGTAACACAATAGATTGATGCCGATTGATTGGTTTCATTCTTTCTTACCACTTATACTCTCCCTTGACTTGGAAGCCTTGGAATTCAAGTTAGAACTGCTGTCCTTAGGCTCAATTCGAAGGGACAATCTGGATAGAAAAATTCATACAATCAAAAAAGTCAATATTTCTCTGCCAGTCACTGCAAACATTAAAGTTAAGAGCATATTGACCAAATTCATGAAGTTTTTCCTCTGATAATGCAAGGATGAGTTAGTGTAGACAAGATTGCATCTGCATTTGTACAGAGCAGGAAAGGAAGTATACATGTAGTTGTCTGGTTGCACAAAAAGTTATGAAAAACATTGTATATTTTGACTATATTGTGGCCAGAAAACGGCTTTAAAAAGTAGTATGCGGGCAAAACAGCAGTTCTCTTGTGACAGGCGTTTCATCATCATTTGATAAACTCCGCGGAGAATGGTTACAATCAGTTTATGCAAAGATTTCTAGGCTCATTTGCATGAACAATGAAAGCAATGATTGGTTAACGGTTGCCTTTGGATACCATTGACCAATCATAAGTAACGCTTGTCCACCCAAATGATCCCAGAAATCCTTGTGTCAAACGTTTGTGCCCATTCCCCCTCTATTTACGAAGTGTTGGTCAAGTTGAACCATCTTTGATCTTAATATTTCTCACTTGTAGTTGTCATCCTCCACAAACTTCTGCAGTTCCTCAATGTAGTTGACAGAGCTTAGGTAACTTTGAATGTTAGCTGATGGCTCGAGATTTTCTGAAACAAATAGAGAGAAAAGATCAATAACAGGAACCAGCATAAGCTTGGTGGCACAAAGCTTGTATGGAGTTGGAATACAGCAGAGACGATTGAAACACTCATAAAAGATTCATTCCTTGGGGAAGGAATATGTGACAAAGCCCTATGAATGTCTGCGTGGGAGGCTAGAGTTTGCGTATTTATGATTTACAGAAACCAAAAACCGAGAATTTGAAGCCTTACCATAATCCGACTGCTGGAACTCGGATATTAGTCGAATAACATTATTCATCTAAAAGACAAAAACAAAACGGAGAACATTGATTTAACTACCATTGAACTGCAAAATGATTTCTTTATTCCTTCGTTTTACCTTACGAGTTCTTGCATCATCCAGCCCTCCAGTGTTTGGATGAATTGTGTCAATGTAAGTTAAATCTGTCAGGTACATGCCTGTTGAAAAAGACACGCAATAAGTTTACTACTACGTTACTGGAAAAAAATTGTTAACGGTTACATTTCCACAAAAGTCATCAATTTCTTTGACCATGTCTCTTCCACGAAGAGAATCTACTGCTTGCAGTTTCTAAGTTATAATAGTCTGAATGGTGTAGTACAATCAGCGATCAAAGATATCAGACCACGCATCAAGTGGTTAGCTGTACAATTCACTGAGTCTTAAAAAAAAAATTTTAGTCCCAGGTGAAAAATCTTTTTTACTAACAAGTCTGCAGTTGATGAGGTGGTCCGTCTTTTTACTTACCCATGTACGGAATACAAGGCAGTTTAACTGAACTTAAATATTCCCTCAGGTTTTTCCTAGAATGAACAACAAAACAAGGTTTAATAGCATATTTCTCGAAGTGTACCCTGAATACAGACTTAAATTCTACAAACATGACAGCGTGTAAAGAAAGTCGTGTCCGATAGCCTGGGGCTAGTGGATTTTGCTATCAGGCTGGTGATTTTTTTTCTTAACTTGCCCGACAGGCAAGTGCTGTTGTTTGGGGAAATTCAAATTACAGAAGGATTGTAATCAATCCTGCTAATCAAAAGGGGTTTTGGGGCCAGTTGAAATGACTTGTGGGCTACTAAACGCTAGCAACAGCTTACCATCTGAAAGCAGGCTGTAAAACTGACTTTCTTTGCACCCTGCATGACATGTTGTGAAACTGTCAACCATGTCTCAAGGGTTATCAACAGAGGCAAGGGCCACAGGCGGGGGGGGGGGGGGGGGTAATTCATCAAAAACACTATCTACAATTCCATCCGTTACAAAAGAAACCCCTCGTCCTTCATTAGAGAACAAAAACAATCCTATATATTATAAGTGAAGATAGAAAAAACTATTCATTTACAAATTCTAAATTCCATATAATTCTAATCATAAGTAATGCTTGTTCACCCAAATGATCCCAGAAATCCTTGTGTCAAAAGCCTGTGCCTATTCCCACTCTATTTACGAAGTGTCGGTCAAGTTGAGCCATCTTTGATCTTATTATTTCTTACTTGTAGTTGTCATCTTCCACAAACTTCTGCAGTTCCTCAATGTAGTTGACAGAGCTTAGGTAACTTTGAATGTTAGCTGATGGCTCGAGATTTTCTGAAACAAAAAGAGAGAAAAGATCAATAACAGGAACTAGCATAAGCTGGGTAGCACAAAGCTCGTATGGAGCTGGAATATAGCAGAGACGATTGAAACACTCAAAAAAGATTCATTCCTTGGGGAAGGAATACGATACAAAGCCCTATGAATGTCTGTGTGGGAGGCTAGAGTTTGCGTATTTATGATTTACAGAAACCAAAAACCGAGAATTTGAAGCCTTACCATAATCCGACTGCTGGAACTCGGATATTAGTCGAATAACATTATTCATCTGAAAGACAAAAACAAAACCGAGAACAATGATTTAACTACCACTGAACAGCAAAATGATTTCTTTATTCCTTTGTTTTACCTTACGAGTTCTTGCATCATCCAGCCCTCCAGTGTTTGGATGAATTGTGTCAATGTAAGTTAAATCTGTCAGGTACATGCCTGTTAAAAAATACACGCAATAAGTTTACTACTACGTTACTGGAAAAAAATTGTTAAAGGTTACATTTCCACAGAAGTCATCAATTTCTTTGACCATGTCTCTTCCACAAAGAGAATCTACTGCTTGCAGTTTCTAAGTTATAATAGTCTGAATGGTGTAGTATAATCAGCGATCAAAGATATCAGACCACGCGTCAAGTGGTTAGCTGTAAAATTCACTGAGTCTTAAAAAAAAAATTTTAGTCCCAGGTGAAAAATCTTTTTACTAACAAGTCTGCAGTTGATGAGGTGGTCCGTCTTTTCACTTACCCATGTACGGAATACAAGGCAGTTTAACTGAACTTAAATATTCCCTCAGGTTTTTCCTAGAATGAACAAAAAAACAAGATTTAATAGCATGTTTCTCAGAGTGTAACCTGAATACAGACTTAAATTCTACAAACATGACAGTGTGTAAAGAAAGTCGTGTCCGATAGCCTGGGGCTAGTGGATTTTGCTATCAGGCTAGTGATTTTTTTCTTAACTTGCCCGACAGGAAAGTTCTGTTTTTTGGGGAAATTCAAATTACAGAAGGATTGTAATCAATCCTACTAATCAAAAGGGGTTTTGGGGCCAGTTGAAATGACTTGTGGGCTACTAAACGCTAGCAACAGCTTACCATCTGGAAGCAGGCTGTAAAACTGACTTTCTTTGCACCCTGCATGACATGTTGTGAAACTGTCAACCACGTCTCAAGGGTTATCAACAGAGGCAAGGGCCACAGGGGGGGTGGGGGGGATTAATGAGCAGATGGGGCTATAACTGAGGAAGGAGGTAGGGGAGATAATGACTAGGATTTACAGTATTGCAATAATAAATAATGACTAGGTAATTTAAAAATACTACTTAAGCTACTACTCACTTGTTCTCTTCTTCTGAAAGAAAATCTGCCAACTTATCGAACACTGCACGATCTTTCCTTTGGAGCAACTGCAATGCACAAAGAAAGAGATGAACAATTCATGAATGCAGTAGGGCCCTGGTAATTTGAACTCAGATAACTCAAATTCCCCACTAACTCAAAATAAATTTCGTTTTCCTTGATTAAAATTTACCTCGATAACTCGAATTCTGGTTCTTGGAACTCACCACGAATGCTATCCTATTAAGTTTTCCTTGTTGTGTAATCAGTAAGACCGCTAAAACTAACACTAAAGCAATTTGTTTTTATTGGTTTTTAATAAGTGCAATGAACAGATCACGTATTTAAATAATAAATAAATAATAACTTTATTTTAGTGTCAATGTGTTTAGCTTAACAGTTTGCTAACTGGGGATACTTCCTAAGTACTGGCACTAATCAGTTACATGATATATTACATAAAAGATTAGTTTGTGTAATAACTACACTGTCTAGACAGCTGAGATTTATTATACTTACTGCCCAAGTTTTGTCAAGCCTGAAGACAGGAGCACTTTGGAGACCAGATATTACAGCTTTGAGAGAATGAAGGTTATTTATTTCCAGTAGTTTCTGAGAGATAAATAATGCAAAGGCTGTAGATGGTAAAAACTGACAACTTATTAAAAGAATCTGAGAATATTCTTTTTCACCTTTCTTCTCCATTACAATGACAGTGTATTATCACTTGATCTTTCATCAATATCAACATCATTCCCATCATCACCACAATCAACATCACCATCATTGCATCACTGTCATTATCATCATCACCGCCATCACCATCATCAACATTACTATTCCCAGTCATCATAGCCAACATCAACACCATCATCATCACTACCACAATGATCATCATCAACAACGCAATCATTTTCATGATTACCATCATACAGCCATCACCATATATCAACACCACATATCAATACCATATATCATGATCATCAGCATCACTTTTGCCGTTACCATTATCGTTAGTATCACCATTATCACCATCATCATCATCATTGTCACCATCATCATTTATCGTCATAGCTATCATCATCGTCATCAACATACCTAAATAACTATATACACTCATAGTTTACCTTAGCAATCTTAATAAAATGAGTCAAAACTGCAGCTCTGATCTTTGGTGTGTTGGCATTAAGGATTTCTCTGACAACCCAGAAGCTTACCTATTCAACAGAGGGANCACAATCATCATCATCATCAACAACGCAATCATTTTCGTGATTACCATCATACAGCCATCACCATATCAATACCACATATCAACACCATATATCATGATCATCAGCAACACTTTTGCTGTTACCATTATCGTTAGTATCACCATTATCACCACCACCATCATCATCATCATCATCATTTATTGTCATAGCTATCATCATCGTCATCAACATACCTACATAACTATATACACTCATAGTTTACCTTAGCAATCTTAATAAAATGAGTCAAAACTGCAGCTCTGATCTTTGGTGTGTTGGCATTAAGGATTTCTCTGACAACCCAGAAGCTTACCTATTCAACAGAGGGATATAAATTTTAAGATTGAACAATGTGTTGCTCCAATATTGTATTAACATCAGAGCTGTCATTAAGGGCGGTAACCCATAACACCTGTTACAGCTGAACTCACTTGATGTTACACTAGCCTGTGATCAAAGTGGAAAGCTTAAGGTGGCACTATACATATTCGTGAGATGTTATGGGTGAATCTTCTTTCGCAACGGCTGCTTCAAAACTTAATGACAGCCCTGAACATTAATTTATACTATTCAATCAATCAATCTGAGGAGTCACATAAATTAATCTTGCTTTTAATCTTAAGAAAGAGAAAAATAATATTGGCTACCATATGTTGGTGTCCTCCATAAACATTGCATTATTAAAAAATGCAGTGACCATACAGCAAATTAATGTAACAAAAAGTGTGAAATCTTCCCCCTTCCGGGGTTTTGTTTTGAGGGTTATCATAATTTTTTGCACTAACATCATCACTTTCATGACATCTATAACTCAAGCAAGGGGTTAAATCTTCACCTGGATAAAAATATCTCTAAGTCATTGGCAAAATACTGTTCATTAGTAACAAATAAAATAATTCTGAACAACTTTAATCACGGAAAAAATCAAAATAAAACTAGTTTAGGTCTACCTTATTCCACCTAAAATTCATTTTAAAGTACAATGTAAAACATCAATTTCGACAACTTACATGATTAAATCTCTTAGTGAAGGCTACCACATTTGGTGCAAGTTCATACTTAAGTTTCTTTGTCCAACCACAGCCTGATAACTCCTAAAAATAAATTCAAATTAGAATTAATTATCTCAAATTGAAAGCTTATCTATATTAAAAGATTACTGCGAGAGGCCTTCAGTTCCTGCTTTCAAGTATCATCCCCGCTGATTTAAGTACCATTTAAATAGTTACCGAAAAGAAAAAAAAGATGTCATGTCTTTTGTACAAGTGCATGTAAAACATGTCCTAAATAAGTCAAGAATTTCCTTTTTTAACTGGCACCAAAAATTTCTTACCATCTTCACATCTTTGATGCTCATTAAAAATGGTAAAGTTTGTGTTTGTGTAAGAAAACTGTCTCATTAGCTTTGCACACGCATAGTAAATTGCTTAAAATATTGTGTGCTTATGGCAGTATCAGTGCTGTCACTTTATTCTTGGATTTCTACTGAAGGAGTCACTGCACATTTTGTATAGCCAGGCAAAATCCTGTGCCCAGGTATGGAGAACCTGATCTGATACTTACATCTGGTTGAATTGACTTGAACACAGCCAGATCTAAGATAGTGAGCTGTTGCTGTAAGAGAAAAATGAAAAAGAAGGACAACAAATCAAACTTCTGCTGAGTGAATTAGAACTTTGTGAAGTACCTGATAAACGGAATTTACTCGTCTGTTATCTGAGTCAAATTAATCCTACAGGCTTAAAATAAAAATAAATTTCTCTTTAATTCTTAAAACTGAGTTACATACTGATAACAAAAAGAATAGAAGCCCTTAACAAAGCAAGCAACTTTTGATATATGTTGAGATTCTTCTTTTAAATTAATCATTGCCTTGGACATCCATGTCAATACAAAGGGAGATTTTTATATTAGACAAATAAGATGCTAATGGTCTTAAAATACCCAAACCCCATGCACACCCCTTCAACTGAAGAGATGTTTAGAGTCAGAGAACGAATCTTAATGTATGTAATGTCAAATTCTAAATAATCCGTTTCACATGCACGTTTAATACAAAACAATTTGGAAGGAAAATTTAGCAGTCAATAACAAAGCACACGGGACAATATTAGTATTACTACCCTTCAAAGATTAATAATTACTTATTGGTCATTTTGTTTAGAAATCAGCAACTGAACTAAAAACCTTGACAATTAATACTTACAGCAAATTGCCCTGGTGGAACCTTCTGGATATCAAATAAAGCTGCATCAAACTTCTTCAATTCAGTAGCATCAACCTCATCTTCTTCTGAAGACTGACAAAAAGTATTATTTTAAGTTTGAGTTAAAAAGGATTCAACTTCACAATGAAATAAACCCCATCATGTTTTTTTGAAGTTTTTATCAAAAAAATTATAGAAGGCGATTATCCAGGCATCTACACTGATGGATTTTCGCCAGCTGGTCCCAGCCAAACGTTGAAAAAACCGAGAAAGGGTCTAAATTTGTCTTGGAAATGTTAACAACACTGAAACCTGATTCAAATAAACTTCTTCTACCTTTGTGCTGATGAAGTCTTCCATTCAGCAGGAACAGAGAGTGACATGTACCAATAGCAATAAATTATTGAATTTTGGAGCATTTTAAAATTTTTTTTGCATCGGCTGTCACGATTAATATTGTTAAGCAACAAATTTGTTTATCTGCAATAAATGTAACAAAACGAATGTGTTGATTAAAATGTAAACACTACTGGTATGTAGTGCACTCTTTCTTTAAATAAGGTGAGAATTCCATGTGAAACAGCCTGAAATTCAGCAATAAATGTTACTAGACAGTTTTCATTAAACTTGTATGCATTAACAGTAGGCATAACAATTTCCTAATTATTTTCATCAACCTACAAATTAAAAATGCAAAAAGAATATTGCGCTGCTCAAAGGTTTAATTTTCTAGCATACTGTTTTCTATTGCATGTTTACAAAAAAAAAAAACAACTAGATCTAAGCTTGAATTTTTACTAACTAGTCCTGTCCCTCATCACTAACAATTAAAGCCAGCAAGATTGAGCTGCAACTTTGAGCCCATACTGTGGCAGCAAATTAATACATTGTACCATCATACATGTATTTGCCTTTCCTTAACCCTTGTGCCAAGTTTTTAATAATAAATTCAATAATTAATAAAAACCAGTTGGCACAAAGCTAAGATCAAAGAAAGTCAAATACTATATCATGGTGCGATGATTTGATGTTTTTTTATTAATACTGGTGCTTTTATTGCTTAGTTTGTATGTATATCACAAATGTATTATATTTTTTTACGATTATACAATTTTGGTTCCATTTAACTGAATGCATTTTTAACTTCAATACATATTTTTCAAATATTTCCCTCATGTAATGCTCATTTGAGTATTTTAAATACTTGAATCTTGGCATTACTATAGCATTATCTTAGCATTATTATATATATTAGGCTATTTAAAAAAAAAAAATTTAATTTGGAAAACACATACGAAACCAAAAGCGTAACTTTTACGTTGTCAAAGAGTAACAATATTGATCATATATCCACAAAGACCTAATTGGTATGCCGAAGCTAAGTAGCAGACTATTTGGACCTCTACGAACGCCGAATTGTCTGAACTGTCCAATTTTATTTCTTTATGTAGAACAAGTTGTTGACAAAAAATATTTCGTTTGTAATGTATACATGCGGAAAGCAAAAGTGTTTGGAGGGTTTCTTTTGAAATGCTTTGTTTACATATGATGTCTTTAGCTTAGATTTTTTGTCTGATAAGGAATCGTCTACACCGAAAAGCTCATAAGTTTGCTACCTCTGGAGAAAAAAAAACATCTACTGCACGATCACTAGTGTAAGCGCGTTATTTTAATAAGGCCAAAATAAGAGTTTAAAGCCGACAAACTTGTGTCAATGAGGTCTAATAGATCTTTTTAACACTGAATTAACTGACCACTTGAACGAGTGAAATACTTTGAATGGATAGCGTTACTCGTCTTCCATGTCATTTGACAGAAAATTCAAAGGGATGCCATAATAGTATATGGACGACCAAGTCGTTCAAACGGCCTGATGCCTTCAACGAACAGATGACTAAGTTGTTCGAACGGTTTGATGTTTTTAATGAGCGGGTGATGAAGCAGTTCGAACGGGTTGATGTTTCTAGCAAATGGGTGACCAAGCTATTCGAACAATTGACAAACAGCTTGTAAACGGAAAGCCTTTAGGCACGTTTTTGTGTGAGAGGTCACAATTTTGAATTTTTTAAACTTATTTGTTCAGGATCAATACTGCACCAATATTATGTCACAGTTATTAATAAGTTATTTTTAAATAGGTAGTTCTACTGCAACAATTTATATTAAGCAATATGCATCCATACATACATGTACCCAACTTCATATGCACACCACAGTGCTGTTTTTTTTTTCATGAAAATTCAAGGAAAGCACAAGAGTTAAGAATTAATCCCAAAAATATGTTACAGTACAGTTGTAGTTAAAACACTGTAAAAATGTAGTAAAAAACCTGGACATTTTATCTCTTATTATCCTTCTTACCTGCTCCGAGTTATATGCATTCCCATTGGCAGGCATTTCTTCTGTAGACATGGCAATATTAACTTTCGGCGAAAGTTCGGATTCCAACAAATAATGATTGGTAATAGAAGTCTTTGGGGTTGACATAATGTAGACTTGGTTTGGACTTCTCAAGAAAGCTTAATATCTAAATCTGTTGACATAAAAAATGAATAAAAGTTTAGCACAAAGTAATGTATATGTTTTGAATCAAGTTTATAACGTTTTGTCATTAAGGCACCTTGGCATTAAATCATAAATTCCGTTTTACTGTTAATTTATCGCAAATGATTCTAGAACCCAGCCTTTGATACAATGTATTCCTTTACGGGGAGATTATTTCAATATCATCATTTTAGAAAATAACCATGGTAATTTTTCTGATACTTTCTTTCAGTTTCATGGTTAATGATTATTGTAATGATTACCATATTTAGCAAATGACTCTCTGCTTTTCTAAGAATTGTAAACTTCACTGTCACTGTCTTGATACACAGAAATCTATATGCAATACAGGTTGTATCCTATGAACAGCCTTTTCCTAAGAACTTTAATACACTCCTGTCTGCATTTTAAGATTCTTTTACGATATGTTTATGTAACAGGTCAAAATTAAATAATTTCAGGGATAAAGTTTTCAACCTAGGTTGATTGACTCTATTTTCTATGGATAATTAGGGCTAAGAGACAAAGAAAATTGAGAATCAACCTAGATTAATTTTTTTTTACCTTTACTAATATATAATTATTTTGATCTGTAACATATACACTCATGCCTACATGCAGATGCAAAGTAACCTCCAAAGTGACAGGTATGGTACAATATAAAAATTATACACAACATTCACAATATAATATCACTGCATGATGACTTAGACAAATTACCGATGATATATGTGTAGATGTATATACATCCGACCAATATTATTGTTTAACAAAGCTTAACTTAAACACTAGGAAAAAAGTCATAGCAACTTCACTGATAAATCAAAAACAAAAACAAAACAAAATTAAGATGATACACCTACAAAAGTTAAAGATGTGTTAACTTGCACAGACCAATCAAAAGTTTTTATTACGAAATCTGTCGACTGTAAAACTAAAAGCTGCCAGTGCAATTGTTATGAAAGTTATGGATTTATGTATATAATCTATAAGGTTGATTATGTAAAACATTAAATTAAATACTAGCTCTTTAATCTCACACTCGTTTGAGAAAAAATGGAGTATCACTTCTATATCAGAAGTAAACTATCGTTGCTCTAGAGTGATTTACTTATCCCGTGAAACAGATACTAACAACTAGTGAAAATGGCCACAAGAAAACAAAGGAAGTCAATGGAATTAGTGCATAATAGTGTTTAGTATTCTTATACTTATTTTACGGGTTAAGTAAAATAACTCTAGGATTCATTACTGTGGTTACTGCGGATGTATGCTAAGAATGCACAATAGCTAAAACTAAAATTATACAGTATAAACCATCGGCCAATTATTTGCTACATTAAAAATAAATATCCTTTAAGAAAGAAAGAATCGTCAGAAGAGAGTTTTTCCTTTTACAGAAAATAATTAACTGACCTCTGTCGTTTACAAGACAAATTTCTTCCGTCAATTTCCATCTCTGTTCAGTGAACTGTCATGTCATCGTTGTTCCATTGTCCAAAGGTCTGTCAGCTCTCTTATTTCATCACGAGAAAACCATGTCTCGTGGTTAGCCTCGAAAGTCCCCAGCAAGTTTTCAAATCCACTCTTCAAGCCAAGAAAACGTTTCTGACGTAATGTGCAAAGTAAAGTTATTCCTAGAGTTCCAGCGTCTTAGTCTTTTTGCGAAGCAAAACGCTCTTACCGCCGGAAAATCGATTTGCCACACTGGTTGAAAACTTCCAGCGGCGTTTTAGCTTCCATCTAGTTCTTACACGGATGTTCTTAATATCCGGAATTTACCCTTCGAATTTCGCTGGAATCAAAGTGGAAATCGAAAACGTAAGCTTCTAAAAATGAGTTGATATGAAAATGCGCGAGAACACCGGAACGCCGAGTGTCACGTTCTAGATTTAGGAAACCTTGAAACGCATGACCAGCCAAAATTTAACCCTCAAGGAGAATTCGTTTCGAACAAGAGAAAACTCAGCTTCCCGGGAAGAATTATTTGATGCAGGAAGTTGTGAGTAACTTTGTAGGAACTGGTCCAATCGTAAGGTAAACAAAACAATCAGCTTCTTGTCACAGAGAAGGAAATTTTCTCGCAAAAATCAAACAAAACGTCACGCAGCGCTCAATTGTGCTCATGCGCACCTATTTGTTATCCACTGATCACTCGAATTGCGCACTCAGATTGTAGTGTTGCAATCCTCGTGTACGTGTTTTGAGTTGTATGGATTTGACGGGAGAAAACGTTTATTTAGGAGTTCCTGTCCTCGATGGGCAGTTTGAGGACGCCGAAGAAGACACCAGTGAAGTACCTAAGTCGCTAAGTAAGTATTTGGCAAGTGAAGCGCAGGAAACGACCGCGAAAAACTCAAACGAAGATCGTCAAAATGGCGGATCCAGTGACCACGTGAAATCTTCATCAGATGACTCTTGTAGTGACGAGGATTTTGGAGAATGGGATTGGGAAGACGAGACTGGGGATTTCACCAAACGCTATAATGCTTCAAAATCCGAAGTTAACGTCAGTAACACCTCTGGCAAACGGCAGTCAACGCTGCAACCGAACGAGAAATCTTTCGAAAAGTTTGGTAACCGAATCAAAGTTGAACGGTATGAGGGACCCAAGTTGTCCAACAAAGCTGCTAACGTTTTGATCCAAGCAAGTAAAAAGCTTGAAAATGAAAGGATGCGCGCTAAAGATAAGGCAGACAGAGCGACTGTCGAGCAAGTCCTTGATCCTCGAACAAGAATGATTCTGTTCAAAATTCTCAACAAAGGAGTGATCTGTGAGATAAATGGGTGTATCAGCACTGGTAAAGAGGCTAATGTGTATCATGCTACTAATGCTGATGGACATGAAAGAGCAGTTAAGGTGTATAAAACTTCTATCCTAATATTTAAGGACAGGGATAGATATGTCACTGGCGAGTTCAGGTTTCGCCATGGTTACTGTAAACACAACCCCCGTAAGATGGTGAAGACTTGGGCCGAGAAAGAAATGCGTAACCTGACTCGCATGCACCAAGCTGGTATTCCCTGTCCAGAGCCGATTATCCTTCGAAGTCATGTTCTTGTGATGGATTTTATCGGCACAGATGGGTGGCCTGCACCCCTGCTCAAAGATGTCACATTGTCAGAGTCCAAATCCAGAGAACTGTATCTTCAGTGCATTCAGATTGTTAGAAATATATTCTGGAAATGTCGGCTTGTCCATGCTGATCTCAGTGAATTCAACATGCTCTACCAACAGGACCAGCTGTATGTGATTGATGTCTCGCAGTCTGTCGAGCATGATCATCCGCATGCTCTGGAGTTCCTGAGAAAAGACTGTACCAATGTCACAGATTTCTTCAAGAAGAATGGTGTATGTGTCATGACTGTGAGAGAGCTCTTTGACTTTGTTACAGATCCGAACATCACCGATGACAATGTGGATGATTATCTTGAAAAAGCACAAGCCATCGCTGCTAATCGAGGGGTAGAAGAGGAGTCCCCCGAAGAGACGGTCAAAGAAGAGGTGTTTAAGAAAGCCTACATTCCTCGCACCCTCGATCAAGTAGTGGACTTCGAGAGAGATGCCAAAAACGCAAAAGAAGGGCAAGTGGAAGAAATTCTGTACTCTACCTTAACAGGGTTAAAACCTGATCTTACAGGAGTACAAGCTGGACCCAATCTGCTTAAAAACAACGATATTAATAATGGAGAAGTTGACGATGTTACAAGTAGTAGAAACAACGAGAAGAATGAGGCTGAGAGCAGTGAAAACTCTGATAATGAAAGTGAGAGTGAAAGTGAGAATGATGGACAAACAGGAAATGCTTCAGAGGAAAAGGCGCCAGCTTTGAGCAGAAAAGAACACAAGAAAGTCGTGAAAGAAGCCAACAGGGAAAAACGAAAGAACAAAACGCCCAAGCACGTGAAAAAGAGAAAGGAGAAGTTAGCTAAGACAAAAAGGGGAAGAAATAATTAAGCAAAGGAGCTTGATTTAAAAATGAAGTATGTTAAAAAGTTTTTCTTCGTAAAAAATTCATACTGATGACGTGTCACTACCCAGATCTGGGTAGTGACGCTTCAACAGGGAAAAACGAAAGAACAATTCGCCCAAGCGCGTGAATAAGAGAAAGGACAAGTTAGCTTAGACAAAGCGAGGACGAAACAATTAAGTAAAGGTAGCTTGATTTAAAGAGAAGTGTTAAAACTTTTTCCTTCGTATACGTCGTTTGCATTTCAGGTCAGATCTGGGTAGTGACGCGTCAACAGGGAAAAACGAAAGAACAAAACGCCCAAGCGCGTGAAAAAGAGAAAGGATAAGTTAGCTAAGACAAAACGAGGACGAAACAATTAAGTAAAGGTAGCTTGATTTAAAGAGAAGTGTTAAAACTTTTTCCTTCGTATACGTCGTTTGCATTTCAGGACGTTTGAGAGCCAAAAAAGAGAAGAGGAGAGGAACGGGGGCCCCCTCAACCCGGGAAACAGTTGTCATGTTAGGCTATAACAATCTTCATAACAAAAATACGTTACTCAGAGAATTTTATACGTAGTGTTATTGATGCTGCGAAAATAAAGAAGGAAAAGTTATGTAACAAATTCATTAAATTTTTGGTGGATGTATCATGTAACCATTGGCGAAAATGCATTTTACTTTGTTGGTATATTCTGTACATTTGTCATGAAGAAAGTAAAACATTATTGTGTGCATGTTGTGGTTCAGTTTTACCCTTGTTCAGGCTCCGCACGGAGGGATCCTTTACGCTTTTCAACAAATCAAAGTAAATAAGGGTACCGTATTTATTCGAATAAGCACCCATCCTAAAGGCTGAAAAAGTTAATAAGCGCCCACCCCCTCCTTCCCCCAGTCAAACTCAAATAAGCGCTCACCCCCACCCCACCCATTTGTGAGTGAATAAATTCTAATAAGAGACTTCCCCGAGAGTTCTTCAGAGTATTTTAAAGACTCTTTGCTTTGTTACTTCTTCGCGTTTTGTCATGAGGATATATTGTTTTGTTGCAAAATAAACATACTTCACTTGCTGAAAATGGTGAAAATTTAATAAGCGCCCGGCTTCGAATAAGCGCCCACCTCGAATAAGCGGCCATTCTCAAGGTCCAAAAATTTAATAAGCGCCCAGGGCGGTTAATCGAATGAATACGGTAACTCAGTTACAGCACATTTCGACTGTTGCGTACTTTTTACGTGCTTAAGCCGGTAAATGTTATGCGCGTGGATAAAATAGAGGCGATGTATGTATAGAGTGTCCCGGGTAAACGTAAAGAGTGAGCGAGGTTCAACTTTTACGTTTACGCGCAACGTTCAGTCCTACATTCCTTCTATTTTATTTGCGTACGTAAAAATTACGCTGCAGTGAAAATCCACCCTAAGGAGAGGAAAGTTTTACGATCTACGGCAAGATATTTGTGCACGAGCATTCGAACAAAAACCGTCTTTCATTTGCTGTTTGTGACGAAATGCGTTACCATGGTTAAGCAAACAAAATAACGATTTCGCTTTATTTTTCCACGTCCGGGCAGAGAAACCTTCAATCTCACGAAGTCCTTGGTAGGTGTTTGAAAGTTTACAAAACAGGAAAACAAAGCTACAGTCAAAGCTCTCGTAAGCGCGGGGGCGGGGGGTGGGGGGGAGCGGGGAATGAACCGTGAATTTTTCAATGTATCCGTACAAACGACTTATTGACGGACTCAGGCCGGCAAAACTAAGAACGACCGAATGACTGCATTAGCACACGTAGACTGTGCGAATTCTTGCCCAGGAGGGTTCGTACTCTTTTTAGCTCCTCAAATTCTATGACTTTCCCTGGCTTTCTCCATGACCTTAGGTTGAGCTGTCACTTTCGAAAATTTTCAAAACTTTCCTTTGTTTAGCCTATTTTTCGACCTTTAACAGTTCAACAAAAACAAATTCTGCTATCCACCAAAATGCGTGCTGTTCGCATTGTTTAACTACTCTTCTTTAACTTACATTTTCCTTTCTTTGTCATCTGCAATAACTTATCTACCAGACAAAACTTTAATTTTCCATAACTTTCAAGGACCGAAAATTAAATTCCGTGACTTTCCAGGCCTTGAAAATGCAATTCTTAGATTTGATGACTTTCTAGGTTTTCCCTGACCTGTACGAACTCTGTTGCCTCATTTTACGGTTACACAAAATCGTTCGATTCGTTACAGCACAAGGAGGAACATATCATATCGCCTAATTCGCGGGATACACTGAAAAATTCATAGATCACTCCTTCCCCGTTAAATGTCCGTGACGCACAAATTCCAGCCAGCTGCATCTTATGAAAGAAAAAAGAAGTTTTTCCTTGTAACAGGTATGGTCACATAAACTGTTATGCCCAAAGCGGGGCTTGTTTCTGCTGCTCGCGTCCACTTTCCGTTACTAGAGGAACTCAGGGAACCAGTTGATTTTTTTATTCCCAGCATTAAAACGTTTAAAAAGAACTTGAGGTGGAATTACACCATGTAAAGCGAAAATGCATAAGGGCCAACCAACGACTGTTTTCTGTAAAATATCTGTTTGGAGAAGCAAATATTTGATCAAAAAGTTAACGCTAAAAGATTTTTAAAATACATTTAAAAAACATTTTAAAAAGTGAACGACGTTTCGGCGCTACGTTACGCCATTATCAAGTTGAAAAGTGAAAAAGTATAAGGTGTAAAACGAATATATAAAATTTGAAACAATACGTAAAATATTTGCGGGTCCAATGGGTATAATTCCCAACGTAAGAAACACAATAAGAGAAAAAAAATAAGAAATGTACGAAAGTGTCACGTAAATAGTTTGGCGCGAATGGAGTCGGCTTGCGTGTTAAAAGAAGGCTTGATGTCCTTTATGTTTAACATCTCGTAGACTAAGCAATCAAACTTGCTGTTACATTTCCCCAGAACTTTGAAAAGATGGTCAGTCTTTGTTCTGTTGTTGCCATTGGACCCGCAAATATTTTATGTATTGTTTCAAATTTTATATATTCGTTTTACACCTTATACTTTTTCACTTTTCAACTTGATAATGGCGTAATGTAGCGCCGAAACGTCGTTCACTTTTTAAAATGTTTTTTAAATGCATTTTAAAAACTTTTGGCGTTTAACTTTTTGATCAAATCATTTTCGAAATCTCTCCTGTTACGAAGCAAATATTGCCTAGAATTTTCTCCTACTTGAAAACGGCTAAAGATTTCTAGATGACCGTTCAATTCATGTACAATTTTCGAAGCTTATTTGGTAAATTCCCTATGATTTTCTGCAGTTTAATTTTTCACATTTCACTCCACAGGTTAGGCTATTTTCCAAGAAAAGAAGAAACGTAAACTTTTCGGATTCAAAAATGTGGAGAGAGGAATCAAAAAAATTATCACTTTCGTAATACGTTAAATTGCATGTAAAATTTTCGGGAATATGAAACAGTACCTCTTGCAATTTCGAAAAGACTCAAGTTCCCCTGGGATGACCTAACAGATACAAATTTTTTAGTGCGACTTATAATGCATTTCTAGAGATCTAATTTCAATGTATTTAGGAGGAAACCGTCGTTGGGTGCCCCTGAAATGCATAACGGGTAATTTCCTATGAGTGGCCTCATATAAGGGAATCCACGACAGTCTTGGATCCTGGATTCCACGCTGGGGATTCCGGATTTTTGGGCCGTGGAATGTGGATTCGGGAATCCAATGGGTAGTAGGATTCCAGATTCCGAAGCCCAGGATTTCGGATTCCACAAGCAAAAATTTCTCAAAATCCGGAGTCCGGATTCCCTTATATGAGGCAGTACAGCATTCGTGAGGTATTTCAGAGTAGTAATTTCACTTGCTTGCTGATAGGCTTTTATTTCATTGTCACTCTCGATCTTTTATTATAAATAGCCTTGACTGGGGCCTTGTTTGATCGAAATTATTCAACTGACGATCATTAAGCGTTGAAATGTAAAATAAAAAGGCTTTTCTCTTGTGATCCTCTGTTTGTCCTCAAGTCTGAAGTCATAGCTACCAGCGCTACCTTGAACTGTGTACCGCCGCTTTCCTCGCTTTCCATCACTTTGGAAAGGAGTCTAGTCATAGGTAAATCGTCGTTACGACACTCGCAAGACTTTCCCACTCAAATTAACCAACTGAGCCGAAGACGAGCACTGACGAATTTTGGACCTGGTCCCACATTTCACTACAGAATGGAGAAGAGAAGCAGAATGTCGCGCCTACCGATCACTAGTTACCTCGAAGAGGAAGCTCTTGTTATCCAAAATTACAACAAAGCTTATGGGTTGTCCCAGACGATGTTCATCAAACTTTCCCCTTAAACTTGTGATACTTGGTATAGTCAGCATGCAGAGAATGAAAGAGCTCCCGCGATCCTTTATCCAACACAGCGTGCATAAGCGATAGCTCATGCTCGCCGCACATGTCCAAAAGGCAATACACTCCAGGTGTAAGAGAATCCTATAAAATAATGGATTAAACATGAGCAATACCAGAAAAATACAACAACAACAATAACAAAAAACAAAGTACAACATTTTGACGACCAATCATTGTACAGCAACACCCGTTGCAACCATCAAACCGGTCCAAAAAAATCATGCTTTTCTTCTTTACTATTTAACGAAACACTGCTGGAATTTTGAATGACAAGGAGATTATGGAAATTAAAAGCAAAATGAAGGAAGCCATCCACGACCGACTTCTGGTTCCAAACCAAATGGAGGTAGTAGTTACGAGCCCCCCCCCCCNGAAAGCGCCTTTGCGATTGCTTCGATTTACACACACTCTTTTTTCTCTTTAAGAATATATTTTATAAGAATATCGAGGCTGAAATTTGCAAAATTATAAGAATATTTTAAGAATAAACCCGAGACTGAGATTTCGAAAAAGATGATTATTTTGAGTGATGAAAATCTAAAAAGTATGTTTTTAACTTAACTGTATCAAATTATTGCTTCCTCCCACGGCAAAACTACCCAACAAAACGAAGAAACCTGCATTGGTTATAGCCAAATGTTGAATGCTAATGACAGTTCGATGAACGGTACATGAAATACATATCTATAGTATATCTAGCAAAGAAAAAAATGAACAAACCGCGCAAAAAGGACATGATAATTTCTTTCTTTTTCAGTTTAAAATAAGACAAGAATGTTTACAGTCTAAAATTGGCAGAAAAAATACGAATATTCAGCCTGGCCCAAAAAAACCACATTCTTAATAAAAAATGGAGTGTACTTTGTAAATATACATTTGCGTTTTGATATCCAATTACTGCTTTGAACCCACCGTGACATCCGTTGTGCACTTTGTATTAATTCATTTGTTTTCACTTTTGTCCTGTTCGCTTGACTGTCATCCTTGGCCCGTTCCGTTTCCCCGTTCTCACCACAGATTTGTAACAGACTTGATAAAAGATCTCAAACATGTAGTTAAGGTTTAAAACACAACAAAAATGGTAAATTCATAATTCTTCACTTCTGAACCGAAGCACTCCTTTTAAGATACGTGTCACAAGCCACTTTTCAGCTTTCCTTCTGGTTCGTTTAGTGTTGCTTAAAATATAATAAATATATGTCTCCAGGCATGGGAGAATATTTTTTTTTCATAACAATTACAGGAGGTTATTAGACACAAAACTGATTGAAACTGCCCATCCACCTACCC